AGAGGGAAGGGAGAAAGAAAGGGGAAAGGGGAGGGGAGGAGGGAGGAGGGAGGAGGGAGGAGGGAGGAGAGAGGAGAGAGGAGAGAGGAGAGAGGAGAGAGGAGAGAGGAGAGAGGAGAGGAGAGGAGAGAGGAGAGGACAGGAGGAGAGTTACGTGAGAATGCGGTCGGGCGGCTGTTCCCAGAAGAAGCGGTTGAGATAACTTTCATCATCAACTCGAGCTCCAACAAACCCTCTCGTCACATCCTGCCAGCTCCAATCAGTGAGAAACGGGGGAGGGGAGGATCATGTGAGGAGATGGAGCAGAAGCAAGACGAGCTGAAACCCTGAGGGAGAAAAGGGAAGGAGAGGGAGGAGGAGCAAGGACCAGCAAGGACCAGCAAGGACCAGCAAGGACCAGCAAGGACCAGCAAGGACCAGCAAGGACCAGCAAGGACCAGCAAGGACCAGCAAGGACCAGCAAGGACCAGCAAGGACCAGCAAGGACCAGCAAGGACCAGCGAGGACCAGCAAGGATCAGCAAGGACCAGCGAGGACCAGCAAGAAGGAGGCAAAAGAGGGAAGAGAGAAAAGGATCACCTCTGCAGTGAAGGCAACAAGAGTGTGAAGTGCGTTGAGCATCCAGTTTGCTGGGCCCCCGAAAAAGCCTTGAGAAAGCATGAGGAGAATTCAGAACAGCCATCGGAGGAGGAGGAGGCAGGAGGAGGCAGGAGGAGGCAGGAGGAGGCAGGAGGAGGAGGTGGTTGTGGTGGTTCAGGGATGGAGGGGAGGAGAGGACACAGGAAAGCAGGCAGGTAAGCAGGCAGGTATGAAGGGCAGCTCGAGCAGATCTGAGGGACAAAAGCAAGCGCGGGAAGGGAGACGATGACAAGAAAAGAGGAGGGAGGGGGGAGAGGAGGAGGAGGAGGAGGAGACAGGAAGCAGGAGGATACCAGAGTAGAAGTAGTAAAGTCCTTCATGGGAAAGCATACTGCATCTCTGCTCATGATCGTCAGGTTCCAACACCTTCGCCCTCCCTCCCTTCCCCCCTCCCTCCCTCTCTCTCCTCCCTCCCTTCCCTCCCCTCCCCTCCCCTCCCTCCCCTCCCTCCCCTCCCTCCCCTCCCTCCCTCCCTCCCTCCCTGACCTGCTTGTCCGCCACGTGATACGGAGGATCTCTTCGGCAAAAGCGAGGGAAGCAAGCCTGTCGTAGAGTCAGGAGAGAAAATGAGATGCAGGAGGACAGTGGGAGAGGAGGGCAGGAGGAGGAGACAGGAAGACACAAGGAAGAATGGGAGAGTGAGGTGTATGCAAGGGAGGAGGAAAGCAGGAGAGCAGGAGAGCAGGAGAGCAGGAGAGCAGGAGAGCAGGAGAGCAAGAGAGGAAGGCTCTTTCCTGATCGAAATATCCTCGTGGTTGCGACCTCAGCTCGTTGAGGAAGAAAGGAAGGTCCCGCGTCTCTCTGCTCCTCTCTCAGCGTGTGAGGCAACTGGTAATCCTATCCCTCACCTGCCCTCCCCCTCCTCCAGCGAGACCACCTCCTCCCCCGAGTAGTAGGCATTGTCCGCATGCACGACTCCAAAGGACTGTGCAGCGGTGAGATGAAAGTTTGATGGGGAGGAGAGGGCGCGAGAGAAAGAGAGCGGAGAAACACTGAGATGTTAATGAGAATGAGAAGATGCGCAGGAGCAGGAGCACGAGCAAGAGCACGAGCAAGAGCACGAGCAGGAGCAGGGGCAGGAGCACGAGCAGCAGTTCAGAGCCTACACCTTGCCCCACAAGATGAGAGGAGCGATGTTCCTGACCAATCGAGCATCGCAGTCTGCGGAGTCAATCACATCCTAATGCTGTGCTGCTCCTACTGTGAATCTTCCAAGGCTACCCTCTTCCCCTTTCTCCTCTCCTTCTTTTTCTCTCTTCCTTGTCCTCTTGCTCTCCTCTCTCTCTCCTCGTTACCTCCCTATCCTTTGCTCCTCCTCGCTCCTCAAGATCTTCATCTCGTTCCACCTCCCCCTCCTGCCTCTCTTCTCATCTTCTGTGTTACCAATGTGAAAAACGAAGTCGACGTCTCGGATTGCTTCCTCCGCCTGCTGGAAAGTCAAATGGTAGAAGGAAAAGAGGGGGGGGGGAAAGAGAGGAGAACTAAAGGATACAGAATCAGAAGGAGAACGAAAAGGACGAGGACGAGGACGAAGTAGAGGAGGTCGAGGAAGAGGACGAGGACGAGGACGAGGAAGAGAAAAGAGACAAGAGACAAGAGACAAAGACAAGGAGGAGGAAGAAAAGAAGGAGGAGGAGGAGGAGGAGGAGGAGGAGGAGGAGGAGGAGGAGGAGGAGGAGGAGGAGGAGGAGGAGGAGGAGGAGGAGGAGGAAAAAAAGAAGGAGGAGGAGGAAAGAAGGAGGAGGAGGAAGAAAAGAAGGAGGAGGAGGAAGAAAAGAAGGAGGAGGAGGAAGAAAAGAAGGAGGAGGAGGTCTGCCTGCAAGTACGTCTGCCACCGTCTCAGCGCAAGCTCTACAGGTCCAATCAGAGGGAGGAGGAAGACGCTATCAAGAGCAACCTGGCCAGCCCCAGTGAGGGACGTGTTTGTGCTCTACCCGCACTCTGTACTGAAGTTCAGCTGGGAGTTGCAGGGCTCCAGCTGGGATACCTCTTGAGATCACGACAAGTCTCCCGGTGATGGTCGAAATTCTTGTGGGAGGGTGAGGAGCCGACGGGAGGAGACGAGGACAGACCGAGTTGTCGGTGAAGACGATGAGGCGAACGTGAATCTGAGAGGACGGGGACGAGGAAGGGGAAGAGGACGAGGAGGAGGAGAAGGAGGAGGAGGAGGAGGAGGAGGAGAAGGAGGACGAGGAGGACGAGGACGAGGAGGAGGACGAGGACGAGGAGGAGGACGAGGACGAGGAGGACGAGGACGAGGACATGATCTCCCAGCCCTGCCCCGCTAGATACTCATCCAGGGATTTTGCAAGTCCAGCGACATACCTGGAAGCATCACGTCATTCTTCTCCCTTGACAGTTTCCTCTCCACCATCCTCCTTTCTTACTCGTTCTTGCATCTGCTCCTTCCTCCTTCCTCTGATCTCCTCCTCCCCCGTCTCCCCGCCTCCCACCCATCCTCCCTTGCCTCCCCTCCCCTTCCCTCCTCTTCCTCATCTTCATCCGTCGCACCTGTAGTACGTGTGTGTCGCTTGCGTCATCACCAGCACCTTGATTCCCTCCTCGTCCTCTCTCCGCTTCCCATCTCCTCTGTCCTCCCTCGCACTCTCTTCGCATTTCTCTCCTCTCACCGCCATGGCCGTCAGGGTGTGGGGAAAATTCTCATCCACGTCTCCTGTCATCCTTCATGAGCCTCCAACAGCAATATCCTTCCTCTCCATCACTTCCTCTGACTTTTTGCGCTCTTCTTTCCATCTCATCACTCTCCTCCTCCCTCTCCCCTTTCTCCTCAAATCCCCTTCTCCTCCCCATCCCTTCTTTCTTTTTCCGCATTGCTTCCTCGTTCCTCCTCCGCTTCTCTCCAGTCTACCATCGAAAAGTTTCCTCCCTAGCTCCTGAGAGCCTCTGTAAGACTGTCCTCCCCCCCTGCCCCTCCTTTCATCTGCCTCTCCTTCGATACTCGGCCTCCATGCTCCCCTTCACCTCCTCCTCCTCCCCTTCACCTCCTCCTGCTCCCCTTCATCTCCTCCTCCTCCCCTTCACCTCCTCCGACGATCGTCTCGCTGGAGAAGTCGCTGAACCCCATTCCGTGCATGACACCGACCTGCAGAGAGGAGGGTGATGATGTCGAAGCGAGGAAGAGCAGAAGGAGAAGGAGAAGGAGCAGGAGCAGGATGGAGCGGGAGCGGGAGCAGCATGGAGCAAGAGCGGGAGCGGGAGCAGGAGCAGGATACCATGAATGTCGGCGATCCTCGTGCGCTCACATCCTTCACGCACAGTCCAGCTGCCTCCAGGCTCTGTTTCACCAGCCTGGCAGCAAGTGTCACTAGCGTAGGCTGCACGAGAGACTGGCAGTTTCCTCGGGGAGAGGCGGGAGGCTACAGAGAACTTTCTCTCAGGGAGCATGCTGACGTCAAGAAAGGAGGGAGCGGATCGGAAGACTGTCGGGGAGGCGAAGAGGAGGGTACCCCCGGGCCTCAGGACTTGTCGGAGCTGCCGGGTGCGTCAGGGGGTCGTCGTGGGGATGGGACAGAACCTGTGCCGCCTGCTCATTGCTGAAGGGCTCGAGCGAAGGGGAGAAGGGAAGAGAGTAAATGACAGCATCTGGCAGACCCCAGGAGGAGTCGAGGAGGAGATCGCTGACTTCGTCTCCTCCTCCGCAGACGATCCCCGGCTCTTCCAGGCTCGACGTGTTGAGCACAAGGCCATGGCTGCGCCGGCATCTCAAGTCCACTTCCCATGCATCGGCAACTTCCATGATCGCCTCGCAGCCCCTGCGCAACGTCGGCAGGAGACGACTCCTGCCGCAGGAAGGAGAGGTCAGCAAGGAAGAGAAGAGGGTTGGAGAGGACAAGAGCGAGGGAGGCAGACGGGAGCTGAGAGGAGAGGAGAGGAAGGGACGGAGTGACAGAGTTGAGAAGAGGGAGCAAACCACCTCGGCAAGGGGCCCCAGAGGAGACAGAGAGTGTGTCTCGACGAAGTCTTGAAGTATTCTTCTACGAATCTTTGCACAGAGTCGGAGGGATATCTCTCCTCTTGTTGCTTCTCCTCGCCGTGCAGAGGTTGAGCCAAGAAGCAGAGAACAAGTATCACATCATGACACTTCATCTCAGCGTGGATGCCCAATGCCCCGAAAGAAACGAGGTGGATGAGAGGAAGGGAGGGAAGGGAGGAGGGACAGAGGAGAGGGAGGGAGGGAGGCAGGGGAGGGGGAGGAAGGAAGGAGGGAGGGGAGGGAGGGAGGGAGGGAGGAACGAGGGCAGATGGAGAAGGGATCTGGCTGCTTGCTTTGGTTAGAGACGCATTGCCCTAATGGGGGAGGGTGACCACCCCTACCATCCTCTTGGTATTTGTCTGGAAATGACCGGTGGTGATTTGACCACACGGGGGTGGGAGGAGTGGTTTGTCGGGGAAAGTGCAAAGAGAAGTTGGGAGCGAAGAGGCTAGGAGCAGGAGCAGGAGATGGAGCAGGAGGGGCAGGAGGAGCAGGAGCAGGAGCAGGAGCAGGAGCAGGAGCAGGAGCAGGAGCAGGAGCAGGAGCAGGAGAAGGAGCAGGAGGAGCAGGAGCAGGAGGAGCAGGAGGAGGAGGAGCGGAGGATTTGACGTCAGGAGAGAATAGGAGCGGAAGAAGAGGCTAAGAGGAAGTGAACGCGTTCAGATCTAGGAGTTTCACACGAGCTCAGATGTCTCGGAATCACAGGAACAATGTTGTCACAGTCAAGATCAGATAGACAGCTCAGGCAGAGCGCGATCAACTCTCAGCCTAGTGTACGCTAAGGTGATGCCTGAACCACCTCGACCATTCTTGCGCGGTGAGCTGCAAGGACAGTCACGAGCTGCACTCGTGCACCGTATCTCCCCCCCCTCGTCCTCCACAACCACCTTCCCCTGTACACCTCTTCCACTCCTCTCATCCCCTCCCTCCTCCCTCCCTCTGTACCTGGAAGGGCTCGTCGGTGATTCTCGGATCGGACAGGCGGTTCTCGATGTAGGCGTTCTTCACGTGCATGACACCGTTGGTACCAACCTTGAGTTGTCTGTTGTTTGCCTGCTCATCAAGTCACTAGAGATGAGCTTCCAGCCCGCTACTGCACCTCCCACTGGCTATCAGGTCCCTGGCCTCCAGGCTGTGCCTTGACGATGACGTACTTGTACTCCAACTGCCATGTTGACGTCAGACGGGAAAGCAGGAGGTGCTCTAAAGAAGAGCGAAGGTGAAGAAGGAATGGCAAAGGGGCAGGGTCCGATCCCTCCGATGCCGATCTGCACGGGGAGAGCAGGGAACGGACAACAAACACGAACAAGCACAGGACGACGAGCTCCCACCTCGGTGTTGGGGTCGGTGAAGGCAACTCCAGTGAAGATAGGAAAGTTCTCAGGTGTCGTGATCAAGGAGATTCCCTGCAAGAGGACGGAACAAGTCAGCACATGTCTCCTCCAAGAGCACAGGCCATCTCCTCCTCGCCTTCGACCTCGCCCTCCTTGTCCTCCTCCTCCTCCTCCTCCTCCTCCAAGAGCACAGGCCATCTCATCTTCATACCTTGCTGACGTCCCACTGGCCAAGGTCGGGGGTGTTGCCAACCACCATTACCTGAAAGAACCAACGGATCACAAGCTTCGCCTCCGATGCCACTGGTCGTCAACCTTCACTGGTGGGCCGTTGGCGGGCCTCAGGTGGTGAACTGAAACCTCGAAAGTGACGGCGACCTGAGGGGAAGGGTCAGCTCCTAAACTCGTAGCAAACTCGCATCACCTTGCCGAGGGCGGCAGCCTCCTTTGCGATCTCATCATCTGTTTTTAGAGATAGTAAGATCGTGAAGATGCTAACTCATCGGATCACGAGGCTTTCACCTTCAGCACTTCCACCACGAAGTGCAAGTCTTGAGGTACTCGAAGGTTCCAAAGTAGTGAAGGCGCTCGACACCTGAGCTGCAGTCAGTTCCTCGTGTTCAGCTTCTCGGCATTCAAGAGTGTTCTCACAGGGAGAGTCGAAGTTGCGGTCAAGACAGAAGCCTCTGCACAGAGAAGCTGTGCAACAAACAGCGCGACCAAGGCGTACTTCATGTTGTGCCTGAGTTAAAGGTCACATAGTCGTCACAGCGTTGGCCCTGTCCTCAAATCATTGGGATTATCTTCCCTACTATTTTTCCTTCCTGATTGAAACTACTGTGATCTCTCACAGTCGATATCGAACCCACTGGAAGAGATGTGCATAACAAGGAACAGCAAGCTCTACGCCCCTGAAGCGTGAACCATCCGACCAAACAATCGAGCTCGGGATCAGTTTAGATTTCATGGCACGAGAGGAAGTGTCATGGTCATGAAGGGATCAATCGAGACTGAGCTCCTCGCTCCTCGCGCTCTCTCCTTCCTCTCTCATGCCATCTTTGCCCTGGCTTGCAAGCCATCCGCACCATACAAGGGCGCAGAGGGGTGTCACTTAAAAGCTTTACAAGTGAAAACCTTTTAAAAACGTACTTTGTTCAGAAATGGTAATAGAAAAGTACAAAGAAAGTTTTAATAATGTAGTAATTTGTTGGGAAAATAAATAAATTGTTTTACTTAGTAGAAACAAATAAAATAAGATCCAAGGTTCAAAACTATGTTGCAATATAACTGTTACCAATATGAGATAAATATTTTTTAATGTATCTGGATCATACCAGAAATGCCAAAAAATATTTATAAATCAATTAACGAAAGACAGTAGTAGTAAGTTTGCAGGACGTGAAGAAACGAATTTGTGGCGAGAAGCAAGCAAGAAGTGAAGAGAATGATGCAAGAAGAGGAGGAAGAAGATGAAGAAGAGAAGAGAAAACGACAATATAATGAGAAGGATTCGAACTTTGATGCTCCACAAGGGTACGTGCACAGCAATCGCAGAGGCGCTGTAATCACAATTTATCATTCGCTCAGATGAATGTTGCAATATATCGACTAAAGACATACACGATTGAGTGGCAAGAGGGTCCACGTCCAAAGTGTTCTTGTTGTGACTCCGTTGAAGTTCCTGGCAAACTCAACAATGTTTGGGTCGCCTGGAGAGCTTGGAGTGAGCGTCGCGGCTTTGATCCGGTATCGATCCTTATCAGACTGCACCTGTGATAGCCCTCTTCCTCTGCATGGCTGTGCTGAATCGTGTGCTCGATGACCACATCCCACCTGATGACTATCACAAGGTCGAGCGCAAACAGCTTCTCTCCTGCTTGAGGTCCAACCCCATGGTGGTTGTGATTGGTTCTACTTATTGGCTTGTGCAGCACGCATTGTTCTGAATGTTGAGGCCTGCAATGAGAGGGATCTGATTTCTTCGACAGGCTCTGAGCTCCTTCTAGTTCGGTTCTCGGCAGATCTGTGTCTCTGTGGAATCGCTTGTGGATTCATCATCATTGGACTCTCTGAATCAACCATGAGAGCCAAGGATTGACTGTTGTCTTGCTAGCGCATCAAACGAATCAATAAGCCCACTTGTACACCATCCATGGGTTGGGCAGGCTAGTGCAGGCCATCACGCACATCTCCGTTCCGGTTGCAAGCTCAACGTCTGGTGTCTGCACAGACAGCTGGGGGTTGACGTTGAGGAGCTGCTTCACTGTAGTGGAGAACTTTCCTGTCAAGAAGGCTCAGCCCCTAGTCGTGGCCACCAACAACACCCGACCTGCGATGGAGGCGAGCGTCTCCCCGGCCATGGTGTGGTAGACAGGCCCGACCTTGATGATGTCGCCCACGGCGAGGTTCATGTCGGGATCTGGCACGCGAGTTCTGAGGCGGCAGTGAGAGCAAGTCGCAAGTCAAGATGATGATCATTACGGGTTTGCATTCCACAGGTTGAGCCAGTTGGTGCTCAGCTGATACCTGCGGTGAGTCAGGTCGACCGCACAAGCTCCATCAACCGACCTTCGTGTGAGGGTTGTCAAGGTGTCCATGGGCACAACGGTGTAGGCGCAGAGCTCGATCTTCAAGCTCAAGGTGCTGGTTAGCGGTGGGAGGATTTGATCCTGATCCCCACAGGAGAAGACCCAGTTGAAGGTGTGACCCTCGTCTCCCCTTACGGGCATGTACCTGAAGTTATACACAACTTGAACCCCTCGCGGCATCATGGTGCTGTTCATGGTGAGTGAGAGGTTCCCTTGAGGAAGACCCTGGACTTGAAATAGAGGGAGCATGCTGGTGTCTCTTGATGAGCATGTCACTTCCGTTGAAAACTCGGTACCCACAACTGTATGTTGGACAACTGTCGGCACTTCCAAGTACCAATGGTTGATGGTTACAGTTCCTTGAGAGGAGACGTGGCTAGGAGCGAGAGCAAGGAGGAGGAGGAGGAGGAGGAGGTAGTGGGAGGGACAGCAGAGTCCGATGCCATGGCGCGGGAAGAGCCAGCGGCAATCACGCACTGCCGCCATTCTCTCAGGCCAAGGGACTACTGGCAGGTAAACCTTTAGATCGAAGAGTCAGTGCTCGGGTGTTCCGAAGGGGGTCCTTCACTTGTAGGTGGTTAAAATTAACTAAAAGAATAATGGTAAATTCCTAAATAAAGTGTATTGTAACTTTTGATTAATGAGGTGAGGGGTGGGTGTTTATAGCAATTTTATTGATCATTGAGCACCCTTCACCAGCAATGAGTCTAAATTCCTGTCGCCATGGCGCTACCAAGGAAGAAGGGGAGGGAGGAGGAGTGAGAAGATGAAGATGAGACATTGAGAGGAGAACGTCTTGGTCGTTGAGATTCAAAGTCTCCGATCTCTCTAGCTGCTTCTCTTCCTTCTTCCTCCTTCTGCTTCCCGTCCCTCCCATTTACTTTCCTCGTGTTCCTTTCACTTCCCACTCGTCACTCGTGTTGCCATTTCTCTGTGTGTTCCCCCTCTCCTTGTTCTCTCTTCCCTGTCTTCATACCACTATCCGCGCACAATGTTGAGATCGTTTCTTCTCTGCATTGTGCTGCTTCTGGCTGGTCCAGCTGATTCGCAAGGTCAACTAGGTGAGTCTAGCCGCATGCCATGTGCTCGTTTCAAACTCTCTGACCGGCTCCTCCAGCCTCTGCTCTCAGCGGCACTTTCCGCTATGGCCATTTGTTCTGGAACGTGATATCAGGAAATCGCGTGCAGTTCACCGTGGAGGCTGCTTTCACTCGCGTTGTGGATACAGGGTACTTCCGAGGGACGGAAAGGGACGGGTACGCGCAGATCGGAGACATGGTGGTGATGGTAGGACGAGAGACGCCCATGTTTGATTTCGGGGACGGCTTCATATTGGACAGGCTGACGATGAAGATCATCGCATACTCGATCGAGAGCAACTGGATTTTAGGTCAGGCAGTGTTCGAGCATGTTTACGCTACTCCCAACAACGGCGGGTCTCCTTGGGTCGTGAAGTTCTCAGGATGCTGTCGGATCTCGAACCTGCTGCAAGGAGGGAACCAGCCGTGGCTGCTGCTTGGCGAGGTTGACCTGCTCCGGAGCGTCAGCTCTCCGCGATCTTTCGTTCCTCCCATGATCGGAGGGAAGTACTGTCAGAACGCTCAATACGGAGACTACGTCACGGTCTTCATCCCTGCGGCCATGAGAGACCCGCAGGGTCGGTCTGTGTCTGCTCCCTACCTGAAAGTGGACGAGCCTACCCAGACAAACACGCTGACACAGTTCGGCGATCAGACGGGCAACGGCATCGCCATGCTTCCGCTGAGCTACCACATCGCTACATCTGCAGAGCAGTGCGTCATTGGACAAAATGTTGAGTACTTGTAAGGGTTGCGAGGAGAACTGATAGTATGAGACAGAACGGGCTGCGATGCTTTGGGTACTTGATACAGTCGCATGTCAACGTCCCTGCGTCCACGGTAATCTCACTCCCCTCATACGCTCTTGTCCTGTCTGTGTGCCACCAACATGGTGGGAGGAAGCGCTGACGAGCGGGTGTGGGGTCAGATTGAAGGCGTGGTCAGAATCGACTCGGCAGAAGGAGGAGTCGTGCTCTCCACGGGATCAAGCTCCGCGACTTGTCAAGCAAGCAAGAGCTGCGAGATATCAATGATGTACTGAATGTGCTCGTTATGCTCCGAGAGGTGACGACGTTGTGATGTCAGCTACGTGAAAGTGAACGAGACACACGTGACGGTCGGACACGAGCTGCAAATCGACAGTGACAACAACTTTGCTCTGTCCGTTGTTGCATTTGCCATGGCGGTAATGCTTCGATGCTCTCGCGCTTCTTCGTGCTCGGCCGTAGAGCGGTAGTTGCTCACTTGGCTTGCAGGAGAAGCTGGCAGTGGGTCGCTGCATGCACTTGGCAGTAGTTCGCCATTCGTTCTCTCAGAGCTCGAAGTACTACTCTACCTACAAAGTCTACGTCAACGGGTGCGATGATCCCTGCCCTTCCTCGATACTAGTTGCTGACGTGGCGCGCGAACCTCCGTACAGGCAAGTGCTGAGCAAGGGGGAGTATCCTCCGTGCCAAGCAGGAGGAGGGTGCACGGGAGGGCGACGCCCAGGGATTGCGCTCAAAGCCTTGTCGGAAGGAGAATCGAACCCGGTGAAGCTTGTCAAGCAGGAGTGACGCGGTGGACTCATGTTGACTGCAGGTCGAGGGTCCTCGCACGTCATACTCGACTGACTCCATGGGGTCGGGAGCCTACCTTCTGTTCGGAGGATATCGAGGAGCGGCGGGTCCCCCGTCCTACTTTCACGGGTGAGCCTGGACGCTGAGGGGTGAGGGAAGAAAGTGAGCGATGCTGTGCAGATCGCTACGAGAATGGCGGTTCTGGCTGGGAGAAAGGAACGAAGGAGAGATAGTGCGGTGGTACCAGAGGCAGATTGAGCCGTCCTTGTCCAACAGCTATGGAGACCCAACTTCCCTGTACGGGCAGAGCATGACAAGTGCGACCGACTACCAGATAGCTTCCCAGCTGCTGCTTCTGTACAGCTTTGACTGGGGTAAGGCATCGGCGGCAGAAAGCTCATGTCCAGCCTACAGGACGACCTGCCGATACTCGCAAGTGAGGCCGACGTACCCGATGGGGGTAGACCAGTCGAACTACATCCTTCAGACTGACGTAGCGAACCCGAGAGTCTCGCATGCGAGCCAGAAGTGTGTACAGGCGCCCTCAGACTCGTCGGTCAGCCCTTACGCTCTGTCGCTGCAGCTTCTTCCGGGCTACAACCAGTTGACTGTCTACTTGTCATGGGATGCCAACCTGACCGGAGTGCCTGTCGACATCGTCTCGCAAACGATCGAAGCTGTGAGCTGCAGCGGCGTCAGTCAGTTCAAGGTCGGGAGCTTGACCATCAACGAGCCGAGCTTGGAGTTCTCCGGCTTCTTCTCAAGCTCAGGCTCTGCCGATGCCTCCACTAGCCTCCCACCGATGATGGCCAAGTTGTCGACGTTGAGTGTGACCGCGGGAACGTACCTGGAGCTGACCCTGACGAGCACGGTGACCTCGTCGAGCGACTTGTCGTCGCTGCAGGTAGGCGAGAGGTGGAGCAGGGGAGGGTGCTGACATGCGTGTTGCAAAGCTGCTGCTGGACAGCGGCAGGTCGCCGAGCACGATGTTCTTCCACGCTGCGAGGTCGACGACGTCGACGACAAGTCAGAGTGTGTCGATGAAGGTGACGTGGACCCCCTGCCAGCAGGACCTGGGGATGAACTTCATCTGCTTCCAGTCGCATGCTCGCTTCCTCAACGGCTCGCTCTGCTCCAACCAGCTCGACCGATCATGCAAGTCGAACGCTGACTGCTCGTCTAACGGTCTGTGCATCGCCAACTACGCGACGGTCGCCATGTCTCCTCTCAAGTGCCTAGGCATCAACGTCATCGTAGAAGATGCTCCCAAGTTCAACAGCTCGATCCCAGCATCAGTCGAGCTGATCATGGGCAGGGAGACTGCAGTTGACCTCGGCGTGTCTGTGGCGGATTGTCAGTCGCAGGTATCGCTGGAGGTGGCGTCGGGGAGCATGCTTCCTCCGGGCGCCTCCCTATCCTCCCTGCTGGTTGCGAGCTGGGGCTGTACGGGGCGGTACAAGACGCTGAGATGGACCCCCTCGCCCAAGGTGGGCGGGTACAGCTCGCTGAGCTGCTTTGTGGCGAAGAAGCTGCTGAGCAGCTCGAACTGTGCTGGGCTCGTACCCTCGTCGTCAGAGCGGTGCATCCTTGTGACGGTGCTGCCTTGTGTGTACTCGGTGGGGCGGGACCAGCAGCTGCAGGAGATCGCGGCGCTCTTCAACATGGACTGGATCCTCTTGTGGAGCCTCAACGCCAAGGTGTTTCACCCGGACTATCTGGTCTACAGCCAGCAGAACATCAGCGTCGGGCACGTGTACAGGTCGGAGCTGGCGGACGTAGGGCTGGACGTGGTGGCGGCGAGGTTCGGGATGACGCTGAGCCAAGTGGTGGAGATGAACTTCAACCTAGCGGGTGCCGCGTTCCTGCCCAAGGGACAGCGAATGTGCGTGGTGCCCAACTCGTGTAAGGGGATGAAGCAGACGATTTATTCTTAACCGACGTGGAGCTGTAGAGGTACAAGTGTGAGGTCAGGGAGATTGTATGATAAACGAAGCTGAGACTATGACTGTTGCGTCGGGGCTGGTGGGTCTCATGCGTCTGGACTAGCGCTGCTGCCCGGGCCTTCCGTCCTCGGAACACTTGAACCGTGACGGTGCCTGCTCAAAGGGCCAGTGACTTGCCGGCGCGGCCCTCGTTCCGGTCCCGGGCGGCCCGGGCGCAGCCGGGTCTCTAAGAATTCGGTGTCCCAAAAACGGCACGTAACGGCGCGCATGCTCGCAAAGATGCGTCCATAGGACGGACAGGAATGACGAGAAGATGGCGAGATAGGAGGAGGAGGGAGAGGCAGAGAGGAGTTGACGATGAGAGATGTGCTGAGAGATGCTTGAGAGAGTGAGATGAGATAAAGGAAAGATAGCAGATCAAGTTGCTTGTCTCATAGCTACCCTCCCGATACAAGGGAGGCAGGAGCATAGATTCGATGCTCTGGTGGAAGAGAAGAGACATGCCAGGAGCTCACTCTGAACACACAGGCCTGCTGGTTCATGGTCATAAGAGCTCGTGGCCCTTTGCATCGCCCGCTCATCGTTGCTGTGTTTGTATCATCCAGCTGTGCAACCATGGCTTCCTGGACGTCAGCCAGCTCAAGGAAAACTCTTGCTGCCTTCATGCACAGCAGGATTGATCCGATGAATCTCATTGAACGAAACTTGCATGCGTCTTGGAAACGTGGGACATTTGCATACAGCCAACTTGGACGGCATTATCTCTGCACTGGCAGGTAAAGCTGCCTGATAGGCGTCATGCTCCTCCTGTCCTTTGTTGAGGTGACCTTTCTTCGCAGAGTGCTCTCACGGATCATCACAATGAAGGACACGAGGCAGTTTCATTCCGGCAACGAGCCCAGCGGGAGAAGAGTGCTACTATTGAGCTCGGAACGAAGGCTACTAGAGCGCAGGAGGAAGGAAGGGACCATCTCACCGCAGGACCTCAAGAGGCTGGAGGAGCACGAGAGAAGTGAAGCACAGAAGGGTCCAACGGAGGAGATGACGGAAGGTGATGTCGGAGTAGTGAAGAAGGCTGCTGGCCCCGCTGCGATTGCAATGTACCAAATGGGCCTGTCTTCAGAGAACATAACTGAAGAAGAGCTGTCCGAGATGAAGATGGAAGTTATGATTGACGACTTGAAGGACATGAAAGGAAACTTGAAACCTCTCAGTCCCCTTCCTATCGAGGAGACGACAAACCCAAACCAGTTCGCTGGATTGATGTGCACGCCCCAGGTGACGTACATTCGAGTTTTGTTACCCTCCCTACATCCCTGCCTGCATCCACCTTCTTGTTGCTCCCTCCCTCCGTCTGCCTTCTTGTTGCTCCCTCCCTCCGTCTGCCTTCTTGTTGCTCCCTCCCTCCGTCTGCCTTCTTGTTGCTCCCTCCCTCCGTCTGCCTTCTTGTTGCTCCCTCCCTCCGTCTGCCTTCTTGTTGCTCCCTCCCTCCGTCTGCCTTATTGTTGCTCCCTCCCTCCGTCTGCCTTCTTGTTGCTCCCTCCCTCCGTCTGCCTTCTTGTTGCTCCCTCCCTCCGTCTGCCTTCTTGTTGCTCCCTCCCTCCGTCTGCCTTCTTGTTGCTCCCTCCCTCCGTCTGCCTTCTTGTTGCTCCTCCACATCCAATTTCTCTGCTCTCACCCACCTCTTGTCGTGCTTCTCCACCTGATTCTGCCCCACCAACATCTCAAGTCTTTGGCTGGTCGTTGACCGAACTGGCAGGTGCATGAGAAGCTGCAGGCAATTGGTGTCTCTACGCCTCTTCCCATCCAGCATGTTGCCATCCCTTCTATCATGTCGGTGTGTGCTGGAGGGAAAGGTCTTGATTTCACGTCACTCCCTCCTGCAGGGTCGCTCTGTCATTGTCCAGTCTCCAACGGGAAGCGGAAAGACGCTCGCATACCTCATGCCCTTGTTCGCGAGGTTCGAGGAAGGAAGCAAGCCGAGGAGGGGGCTGATAGTCGCTCCTACCCGAGAACTTGCTCTGCAAGTAAGACAGTGGCCGATTTGAAGTGTCTTGTTAGATGTTTGAAACTGCCCAAGCGGGGAATGGAGCAAGAATCGCTGACGGCTATGAGCAGATTCTCAGCGAATGCGTCAGATATCGAGGAGCAGGGTTTGGAATGATGATTGTGGGAGGGACAGAAAGATTTGAAGATCAGCTGGATAAGGTGAACGCGATTTAGATGCCGCCAATCTACAAAGTGCACTGTTTGTTGCTATCAATTTCAAAGGGATTCTTTGTTCAACCATTTGATCCTCGTTTCCTCTTTGTGTTTTTCGTATTCGCTACAAGACGAGTGCCAAAAGAAGATCTTAGGAGTTTGCAATTTCATTTGTCTGACTACCTGTAGATGATGAAGACAACCTGTCCCATCGTCATTTGCACACCTGACAGATATCAAAGGTGTGTCTTTCTTCCTTTACTCGCCCGTGTTTGATGCTTTCCCAGCATTCTTGCCACCATCAGGGATAAAGATCAGCTCCAGCAGCTGCTGGGCAATCTGGAAGTGATGGTGCTGGATGAGGTGGACAAACTGTTGAACCCGTTGAACAAGCATGCGCCTCTCAAGGTCAGCAGAGGAAGGAGAAGTGAAGCTGAAAAAGTGACCAACACGTCGAGCAGAAGGTGAAGATGAGGAAGGCGCATCCGATGCCCACGAGCTTGATGATGCAGCGAGTGAGAGTTGCTTCGCTCCCTCCTGTGCTCTCAGTCACATCAAGGCAGATCCTGCAGCATCACAATCGACGTAGCCTTCCCCTACAAATCGTCTCTTGCTCTGCAACCATCAGCAGGTCGCTGAGGCAGGAGCTGGCCAGGTCTGCTTGTCTTTCTGTCATGGCAATGATTCTTGTTCGTCTGTCAATGAGCTTCTCTGAACGTCTGATCCTACAGATTCGACGAGTCCCTCGGGATGAAAGTTTTAGACGTCAGTCTCTTTTCCTCTCGCCCTCCTGACCCTTTTGACGGATGTTTCCCTCCCCATCTTTACTTTTATTCTCTGAAAATTTCCTGATGTGTTTGAGATTCAAACGTTGACAGATTGTCCGCTTGAGTCGAGATGACTTCATGACGGAAGAAGAGCTTGTGCAACAGAACAAGCTGTTGAAGTGAGCTGACCTCTAAATCATCACTCCCACCATTGCCTCTCACTTTTGCATTCTCTGCACCCGACTTTTCTGATAGCCGACAACAGGAAGCTGGATACAGGAGGGCAGTTCGAAGCCGGAGCGATTATCCCCCCCACCATCAAGCATCTCGTTAGAATACTATGTGCGAAGGGTTGGGCTCTTGATGCTTGTACAGTACCTTTCCATCAGGAGAGAAGAGGAGAAATATCGCACGCTGCAAAATCTGCTCACCGCTTACTGTCCGACCACTCCTGCCATCTTATTCCTTCCCAATGGGCTGAGCGTGAACGAGATTATCGACAAAATGCACTACAGGTGAAGCTGCTGGCATGCCACTAAAATGCTCCCTGGCTGCTCTCCCTCTCGCTCCCGCCTCACTCTCCTCTTTCTTGCTGCAGCGGCATCGAACGAGCGATCTCGATCCATCGGGCCCTGGGATTCGACGAGTACGATGCGAAGAATGCCACGGGCGAGCCAACAGTGTCCGAGGACATTCACAATGAACTTGTGCAGCGGCGAGAAAACCTGAGAAACTCTCTCGCTGAGCAGTAAGCGAGCAAGACCTCTTCTCCCTCCTGTCTTCTCCTCTTCTCCCTCCTGTCTTCTCCTCTTCTCCCTCCTTTCTTCTCCTCTTCTCCCTCCTGTCTTCTCCTCTTCTCCCTCCTGTCTTCTCCTCTTCTCCCTCCTGTCTTCTCCTCTTCTCCCTCCTGTCTTCTCCTCCTGGCCTCCCTGGCTCTGACGTCTGCTCAGAGACAACCCACCGCTGATCATCATGAGCGAGTCAAACGCTCGTGGCCTGGACTTCTACTTCGATGTCGTGTTCCTCTGGGAGGTCTCCTTCAGCTGCGTTCTCTTCTGCTCTGACCTCGCAAGCAGCTCCCCCGCGAAGTCGCCAGCTATGTGCACATGGCAGGGAGGACTGGGAGGCTGGGGAGGAAGGGAAAGGTTGTGACCCTGGTCGTCAAGGATTTGAAGTAAGTGATTGTCTCCTTCCTTGCGCTCGAAGCTGATCGCGACGCTGCCCTGCAGGAAGCGAGTGGGTCTCTTCGAGTCTCACCTCGGAGTGAAGTTCAAGTACCTGGCTGACCCCGACACCCTCGCCCCTGACGACGACGAGGAGGATGTGCGAGTCGAGGAGGAAGTGGATGAGGAAGACGAAGAAGACGATGAGGATTACGATGACGACTATGAGCAACCGCCAACGCGACGCTCGTGATGGAGAAGTCGCACATGAAAACAGTCATGTCTCTTCATGAGTCGACACGAGACAAGTGAGGTCAACTTTGAATTTGCAGCAGAACAAAACCGTCCCCGAATGAATGGAAGAAACGAGCAGACTGAGTTGTAGCCTTTGACACACCTGTCCTAGCGTGCGTAACCGTTTCCGCCGCAAGGTAGAGACAAGTCAAGCAGTTGCGATACAACCATGTGCTTGTCTGTACCGCACAAACAACACACGTTACTTCCTGTTGCGATACATGAAATTGAATGAAACCAATGGCGCGACTCGCATGGGTTTAGTTCTGTCCGGGATTAGTTTGTATTGTTTTGGGCACAGCGGCATGGGGTCGCCGGTAGCGACGGCAAAGGAGGGAGAGGAGGAGAGCAAGGAGGAGAGCGAAGGATGAAGGAGAGGCGGTCACGTCGACGAGCCTGACGCCTAGCAGGAACAGGCTCATGCTCTAGCGTGAGGCCGGACAGACAATGAAGGCAAACAGAGAGCAAGCGCAGTCTCTTGAAGGGTAGAGGATGAACGTCCCTCGGGTATGTTGTCAAACAAAATTCACAGTCGACCAAGGCAGCGCAAACGTCTCGGATTGGAACTGGGTGACCTTCTCTTCTCCTTCCCGCTCCCTCGCTCTGAACTTTCACCTGCAGCCGGCACGACCGCATGAATCCTTAGACGAACATGCGGAGGAGGATGAAACATCACAGCAGGTCAGCGCAAGAGAGGAGACGCTAGGGGATGCGGCATGGAAGACCTTCGACAACTCAAGGTGGAGCTCGTGGGACTCGGACCCTCTCTCCTTGAGCAGCTCTCCCTCCGTGAGAAAGACCAAGAGCATAAGAGCGTCTGCGAGTAAGTGGGGTGACCTCCCGAGGATTGAGACTGCTGCTGAGGCGAGCCGAGGAGGTAGGAGCAACGCTCTTGCTTGCTGCTCTTTGCTTTGACCTCTCCTCCTCCTCCTCCTCTCCTCCTCCTCTCCTCCTCCTCTCCTCCTCCTCTCCTTCTCCTCTCCTTCTCCTCTCCTTCTCCTCTCCTCTCCTCTCCTCTCCTCTCCTCTCCTCCTCTCCTCCTCTCTCCCCCTCCTCTCCTCTCCTCTCCTCTCCTCTCTTCCTCTCCTCTCCTCTCCTTCTCCTTCTCCTCTCCTCTTCTTCTCCTCTCCTCTCCTCTCCTCTACCCACAGGTCTCCGAACACACCTGATCAAAGAAGGCGTGCTATTGCAGCAAGAAATGACGTGGCCAAGAAATTGGGTAGACTCAGCGCGAGAGAGACGAGAGGAAATGACGAGCTTGTTTGAAGGGACAACGACATCTTGTGCTTCACCCGCACTGCTTGATATGCTATGAGGATTTCACTGCGAGAGTGTTGAGGAAAGAGAAAGCCAAGATGTACCTCAGCCATGTCTGCAAGGCCTTCACACACGATGAGCTCCGTTTCACTGTTTGCGAAGGCTCAGGAAGACAGCGGGTGCTGGGCGCTCGTTGTATCATCTCCTCTCATACGCTGTCGTCAGGTCTGGACGTTTCAAGCCGACAGTGAGCAGAAGAAGATGGAGTGGTACAGTGAGAGGAGGTGAGAAATGAAATCGAGTTTGACTCGTCGGCACAGGATCGCCGCCATTAAGACACAGATTGAGAAGTCGAACACGAATAATGACAAGAGCGAGAGCTGTCAGTCGACCCAAGGCTTCGGGGGAATGGAGGAGGAGACCTACCAAGAAATCAGCCAGGTGAGCGAGGTCTTGACGGATATCAGCTCCATCAACGTCAACGAGAGGTAGAGCTCTGCCATGTCTGCTGTAGTTGACTCGTTTCAGCTTGAAAGAGCATTGCGGAGACTCGGTCACTACTTGTTCGGTCGACGTGAGTCAAACGGAGACAAGGGAGAAGGAGGATATTGGGAGGGAGGGGAAGGAGAGGGGTAACGAGCAGCTTTCAAGCTCTGCTGGCTCTGTCGGGGACCTGAGAAAAGAAGCTCAACAGGAGGAGGGCGAGAGGGTCATGTCGTCTCAACCCAGACGACGACTAGTCAGAGGAGAGATCAACGGTCTGATCGGTAAGAGACTCTTCGAGGAAGGACTTCGCTACTGGAACCTCTACTCCACGAGGACCGCCAGGAGCATGCGAGCTGAACCTGAAAGCTCCTTCTCATCTCGCCCGATGCGCCTCGAGCCTCCGCTAGAGAGTAAGGTCATCGTGACTGGCGAGGAGGAGGAAGAGGAGGAAGGGGGGGGAAGCGGAAGCAAGTGCGGCCTGTACATGGTGAGTAACTGAAAATCTGCGAGACTGGAAGATAAGAAGCTTTCTCAGGTTCCTCGGCTGTTTCAGAAAAGATCACGAGTTTATCCGATGGATGGCACAAGGATAGCCAAGAAAGTTTAAGACAAACATTGTTGTATATCACCTTCACAACTTCATCTTCACCTTCATCTGTATCTTGATCATCTATTCACCTTCATCTTCACCTTCATCTTATCCAATTGACAAACACGGCAATTGTAACAACAGATTCTAATCGCTATCTAAAGAAGTTCTCGCCCATGAACTCGCCATTCCTCGTCTTCAAAACCGCTCGCAAGAAATCTTTGAAGGAAAATTGAGCAAATGGGTCGACGAGCCTGTCGAACCCAAGCAGGTTTCCTGTGCATGTGTGAGACGTACAAGTAGAAAGTCTGCAGACCTAAATCGACTCGAGCTGGGGTCCCGCATCTTCGGAAGAGGATAGTCATACCGTCCTCGACTGTGACCTTCCCTGAGGAGACAGACAATGACAATCCGAGGAGAGCTGGTAAGAGAAGGAGAGGGGAAGGAGTCGTTGAAGAGTGAAGAGATGGTAGGAGGGAAGGGTTGGGAGCACCAGAGAGCAGCTCCTTCTCGAGCTCGTCGTAACTTCGAACTGACTGGCACGAGCAGTGAGGAGGAGGAGAAGAAAAGTCCCAGCAGAGCTACGAGATCGCATGGCTCAACGTGCAGGAGAAACTCAACGATGCTGACGAGGAGGGGAGGCATGTAGTACTCGCTGGTCTTTAGAAAGAGCTTCAGAAGCAGCTCATATCACATCGCACTTCACCTTCATCCCTTGGTATTGAGATTCAGTGTTGGCGACAGGCTGTACCTCCAAGCATGTGAGAACCATCTGAACGCGTTTTCAATCGGCTAGCACACCCAACAAGTGCTAGTCAGACCTCAAAGAAGGCGTCTTTGTCAAGTTTCCCTCGATAATCATCGATGTCGCTCTTTTCTACCCTTTGCCTCTCCTTTGACGCGCTTGCGGAGCACAGAGGCGTCAAGTGGATATGATGAGAGAAAGTAGACTGAGACTACCTCCAAGACTTGGAGTAGAGCCCGACAAGAGTCATAAGGGGTACAAGCTGAGAAGAGCGCAAACAAGCAGGAGGCTGTTGGTACCTTGACTGATTCCTCGGCACCAAAGAAGATGGGACGGGGTGCTTGCAACACCTTTCCTGGTGCCTGCAACCCTTCAATCCAAGGATTTTCACTCATGGATCCTTACAAGACAAGGTTTCGGTTCTCCATATCGGATCCAATGCTCTTGCGCTGCTCGGAAGCTGTTGCCATGGACTGAGTCAGCCCGACATCGAACAGTATCTGAATACCCCGGAAACAATTGACAATGCCTCCAAAGCTCCTCCATCATATCTTGAGCGTCCTAGGAGGCCTGTGAGAGAAGTTCTCGGGTACAGCTGCTCAACCTTCTTGCGGAAGGTTTTCTCCAGCTGAAAGCATCATCACGGAGATGGTCTTATGAGGAGTGAAAGCACCTGACGGAGTCTCTTGGACAGATCTTGCAGCGATATGACTCCATCCCTATGGTACCAGCTCTAAGTTTGCAAACTACTTCACCAAGAGGTACCCAACAGACCTGTCATGATCGAAGAAGTGGAATATTCTCTTGATCCGAAACTTTCTGGCCTCACAAAGATATTCGTGTTGCAGTTTGTCTTGGTTCTTCTCCTTAGCCTTGATGCAACCATTGCTCAGTGAAAATGCAATCACGGGCAGGAAACCCTGACCCTAATCGCCATCTGCACTTTGCGATGCTTCTCTATGATCAAAAGTCTGAAGTTCATCGTCACAGAATGCTTGAAGCATCATCAAGGTCGACCGATGATGCTCTTGTTCCCAGAACCACTTCCTCTGCTCTTCTCTATCTTCTCTGATCTGCTCTTTCATCTCGATCGACTGAAAGCAAATCAAACATACTGAAACGGGTAATACGAGGCTAACGATATGTCGACGACGACTGGCCTCTGCTATCCGCATGGCTGTCAATTCCTCTGACAGTTTGGTCTCTTCCTGCCTCTCCTGGAGCTCAGCTGGACGAGCATCAAGCATGAATCCTGTGGCAGGCCCCCCCACTTACCCATCTTTCGCTGATGCTCTTCTTCCCTGCATGGAGCAGCGAGTCAAACGAGAGCTCCTTCCTCGCTCGCCTCACCTGCTGGCTGTCGCTTCTCTTCTCCTTGTCGCCTCCTGCTCCTGCTGGGCCCTCGAGACCAGCACCCGCTCCTCCGCTTGCATTCTCGTCATGATCCCCCCCGACATCTTTTTGCAGTTGACTTTTTTTTAGCAATCATCATGACTTTTTTTAAGTAAAGGCTCATCATGACAAGCAGGAGAGTCTGAAAAGTTTTGGAGTCGACAAAGACAAGAGAAGGACCATGTGGAGAAGAGAGAAAGAGATACCAGACACAGAGCGCGGGTCAAGGAGAGCGGAGAGGGGAGGGGAGGAGAGGGGAGGAGAGGGGAGGAGAGGAGACAAGGTCTGTGTCTGATGAACTAGAATGTATTCATGTCAACAGCAACCCACCACTACAATCAGCCTCTCAATCTCTTCTCGTCTCTTTCGTTCAGGCCTCTCACTTGCGTCTGTTTGCGATCTTGTGGTTGGGCGACAAGAACTTCCCAAAGTCCTTGAGGTTCGAGCGGATATCTCCGCCATCTCCGTCCTTGCTCAGCCTTGCGCTCGAGCCTGTTGAGCCAGGCCTGGGACCTGCCGGCCGAGTCAAGATGAGGACACACCTGCTGCGACGTACCTAAGCCGGGAGGCAGCGGTGGCATGGCATGCTTCTGACTTTGCTCTGAAGGAACATCGATGATGTCATCAAAGAAAACGTCCTCCTCCTGCACTGGCGCCGTTCCGGCACCTTTCTTGCCCTGCAGGAACATGAGGCTTGAGACAGAGCGACAACCAGCAGCTACCTGGCCCAGGTGATCGCGTAGGAGGTTTTGACCTTCGCCTGCACTGTTGTTCTTCTTGAATACAAACTTGCCACTCTTGGGCATTTGGTTGATCATGTCAGTGATTTGAGCAGCATCATGAGCTCCGTTGCTTGGCCTCAGCGGCGGTTTCTGCGGGGGCTCGTGACGAGCGTGAGGTTCGCTTTTGTTCTGCTTGGGTCTTTCAGGGACCTGAAAGGTTATGAGTCAAAACCCCAAGATTAACTTCTACTTCACCGGGTCTTTGCTGGGCTGCGGCTGAGGTTTACCGCCAGCCATCTGCTTCTGCTGGCGTCGCTGCTCGGCGAGACGTTCGTTTTCTTGCATCTGCTTCAAGAATTGCTCCCGTCTTGCCCGCACACGTTCTTCTTCCTCTTTCTTGCGAACGTTCTCGTTATGAGCCTCCTTGAAGCTTTGAGCGAATTGATGAATATAGGTCATGAACTCGTCGGGCTTGAGCTCTTCCTCGCCATACCTGAGACTCACATCAACAGAGCAACGGATGAAAACATTCATGTTCACATCTTGGAAAGCTCCTTGTACATCGCCAAAGCTTCTTTCTTGTTTTGTTCGAGCACTTCCATGTCCCGATATGCGGTGTGGTAGAACTGCTCTAGTTTTGAGCCGCAAGGGTCTGTTTTAGCATTGCTCTTGTAGTAAGGCTTGTTCATCTCCTCGTAAATGAATTTGATCTCCTTCTTAAACTTGCTGATCTCATCCACCTGCAGTCAAGCTCAGAGTGACTGCCTCCCACAAGCAGAGCTCACAATGTTTTCTGACACTTTTGCACCAATCTCAACGTTGCTCAGCTCCTGAGGAAAACTGATGTACTCTGGAAATTTGCGATGTATGTAATCAACCTCAAAGTATTTCAGAGACAAGAAAACAACAGCTTTCAAAGTTTACCAGGTAATGCAAGAGAGTGCTCTTATTATCTGAAGTCTTGGTGTCGGCCAACTTGGTCAAGAACTGTTGATCCATCATGGTCGAGTACACGTCAGATGCAAGGAGACCTCAAGCTTGAAACCGTAGGCTCCTCCTTTCGGTCCCTGGCCGTTCATATAGTTGCCGAGGGCCAACACGATTTCCAGCACTTTGACGAGCGAGGTGCATCTCTTGATGTCATGAATTGCGTAGCTGAAGACCTTGCAGAATGTTGGCAACAGCGAAACAGTTGATCACTTGATACCTCTACATTCTCTGATAGATCATGCAATCTTGCGTTGAATTCAAGGATAAAGACAAAGCACTGTCATTCAAAGTTATGGGTAGCCTGCAACATTGCAATCTGAAAGCTTACCTGCAAGCGAGGCTTTAGGCGAGGTATACAAAGTAGCTCAAACAAAAATCGCTCTGCCACTCCCAAGTCCTCTTTTGGTCCAGTATATGATTGTAAGGCAGCAACTTCTTGATCCGTTGGCAAGAGTCTCATCAGCTGCACTACAAAATTTGGCTGTGTATCGGCAGCACATTACAATCAGAAAGCGCCAGTTGTTCAATGAATACCTGAAGCGTTCGCGTGTCTAAAGACATTATCGCTTTCCGAAAGTCATCATGCCTGTTAAATTAATCAGCTATTAAATGCATGGTTAGAGTGCAAACGACGGGATTTTGAGATGAGAAAGAAGGACTCCAATTGTCTGCGAGCGATTTGCGCTTAAAAGAATAACAGCTTTCTTCCTTCTTGGCCCAGCATTGTTAGAGGAGTCAAGATCATCGTCCTGATCAAAAACTCTTAATGGAGCGTCTGACGGATTTTAAAGAAGTTCGCAACCTTGTGTAAATCCTTCGCCACAACTTTAACTCCAAACAATGTCTCGACCTGTTCGATCTCCAACCCAATCTCCTCATCTTTCATACTCTCCCATATGGTTCCTGGCACTTTCCTCTGAATGTAAGTGTCAAGGTTCTAGCTCTTCATTCGAGAGTCATGAGTCACCTCATTCAATTTGATCCAGTGCAGTTGCTTGACTCGTTTCCCAGGCTGCTTCTTTTCCTTTGGTCGTAATCCAGGAACCTGCGTTCCTTATCACGATAGCTACTTCCTCGCAAATTGCTCCTTACTGATGCATTCCCTTGACCTGGCTTCAGGCCAGCAGGAGGCGGAGGCGGAGGAGGGCCTTGTCCTGGGGGAGGAGGTGGGGGGGGAGGTCCGCCACCTACAACGTCTACCAGTCAGTGCTTGAAGATTGCTCAGCTTCAATTCACCTGGAGGCGGAGGAGGCGGAGGAGGCGGAGGAGGCGGAGGACCTCCTTTTCCTCCAGGCGGAGGCGGGGGCGGGGGCGGGGGCGGGGGCCCAGCTCCACCGGCAGGAGGTGGGGGAGGGGGTGGTGGTGGGGCAGGAGGTCCTGCTATCCGCGAGCATCAGAGAAGCTCTCACGGTTTCTGTCAAATCACCTCCGCCAGCTGGAGGAGGAGGCGGAGGAGGAGGCGGTGGTGGTGGTGGACCTGATGGTCGAATGGTGTCAGCAAGAAACGAATAAATATTGAGATCTTCGCTACCTCCAACAGCCGGCGGAGGAGGTGGTGGTGGAGGAGGAGGAGAAGCAACCGCTTGACCAGGAGGTGGTACTTTTGCGTTTGATTGCGATGCTGATGATGAATCTCCAGCCTTCTTGTCTGATGAAAGAACTTGACCTGCTGCTCCAGATTGTTCTGTAGCTCATGTCATGTAAGTCAAACGTTGACTCCAAAACAACCTCCAGCTTTTGGTTCGACTTCAATAACATTCATGATGCCCGGGGCAACCATCTTTGACAAAATCAGGACCTCTGGATCGTAGAACAGGACTGACCTGAGGTCGATTAAGAGGATTTGGATTTGAGCAGCCGCTGAGAGTAACAAACGCCTCGAGAGTCTCTTGAAAGAGTTTGGCCTGAAAAGGCTTTAATGGAATGATCAAATATCCAATCCTGTTCCCTGACCTGTCCACAACCAAAAACGAGAGGTTCTTGAAGCTCAGAGGATATGACAATCACTCCATTCTGGTCTCTTGGTACTGGAAAAGCTTTGATTCCCGCCGTAAACTTTAGGGTGAAAAGGGTCTTATAGCTGAAACAAAAACTTGAAGTCAGTGTACAAATGCTTTCTAGTCCAGTCACGAACCTTGGTTTCTGTGCAACCAAAAGCATCTCCTTTGTCAAAATCAAGGATACAAGCATGTCAGAATTGTCTTTTGTATCTCGAAGCTGTGCAACAAAACTCGCTGCTCCTCTCTGAATACAACCGAACGTGAGCCAAAGTTTAGCTGTAGTCCTCAAAGATACCTGCACAAATTTTTGCCGCAGCTGATTTGAGTCAGCATGGACACCAGAGGCCGGAGATCGCTCATTTGGAGAGCTTTGGGTATCTTTGAGCTTTGCTAAAGCGTCATCAGGAACCTGTCAACATAAAATTATTTGCCTTGAAATTTAGTGAACCATTTGGACCGTTGAATTTTTTTCCAGACCAGTCATTCCCGCTGCAACCAAAGCTGCTGCTGGTTTCTGAGCATTTTCAGATTCTGCCGTAGGTGAAGTGCCAATTGTGGGCATTGCGGAGTACTGCTCCTTAGCTTCGGCAGTTGGATCGTTGGATTTTTGTTGCTGAACTTCTGATTTGTTGTATCCAAGATTGGATGGAGGAGGGGCAAGCGGTTTGGAGTTGTCGTCGTCGTCATCATCATCGGGCGGCTCCCAAGGTACCTTGCATCTCCCGTCAGTGCGGTATCGGCGAGGTCAGACACAGATATACATCATCGAAGCATTCTTCAAACGAATCCTGGTCGTCATGATACGCGCTATTCTCGTTGTAAACGTCGGTATTTTGCCCTGCATTCACTTTCACTTCATTCACATTCGGCTATTAGCGTTACCTGCTTTGTAATAGTCGAGCATTGATGGCATTTGATCTTCGACGGCTTTTGTCGATTGAGGCCTCTCAATCTCCACCAAACTCTGCCTTCCATAGACCTGAGATATTGTATCAATCTCAAGAAATTCTTTCCCATTTGATTTTGACCTGTTCAGGCACCGAGTTTTCCTCAGCACTCAAGTGTGCCTGGCCATAGTGGCCACTTGTCATTTGCTGGAACTCAGTCCAATTCTGATTGAGCGTCTCATTCAATTGCTGCTGGAACTTGGCATCTCTTGAAGCAGAGGTCAAAAAGAAATGTTCCAACGGGAATGAAACATGAAAATACCCTCCGCCCATTCTTGTATCATGCGGAGATCTGCCATATCCAATGCTGTCTGCACGATTTCCTACTTGCAAGTTAGTGGGTAGTGAGAGATCTTTGAGTCCGCACCATATTTTGTCAGGTCAGATGCAGGCTTGCTAGGAGTATACTGTTGATAAGAGACATTCTGGGATTGGTTGTGACCTAAATAGCATATGAGAAGTTTTGTCAGAAAATTCAACAAATAACCGTATCGATCAGACGGCATTTGCCTGCAGCAAGTTTGTCAACAAGGAGTTTGACAAGTAAAAATTGCTAACCCAGCATTGATCGACTGATTGGCTCCCTTTCCACGAAGTGACACTCGCTGATGCACAGTTTTTTCAGGAATAAGATGGATCACCTCATCACATTCCTGCAAGAGTTTTCATGTGAATCATTTTGCAAAACTATCTCATGGTGTATACCACGCATATTTTCCTGTCGCATTTGTGACAAAAAAATTCTGCGATGTACTCTTCGCAGACAGAACACAATTCGTCTTGCATGATTCAGGTCAATCTGAACTTATCTTGGGTTTGCTTGGAGTTTCATTTCAGCCCAGGAAGTCATGGCACTGCCAATTCACCGTCAGATTTCAATCAAGAGTACCAGCAAGAAGCGAGTCGCTATGTGGCATGAGATTCGGGTATAATCAGGAGAGCTGTGAGGCGATGCTCTATGAGAATCTTCCATCCTTTTCTCGCTCTGCATGTTGTGTACTACCATCTCCTCTAACTGTGCTGCTTCGTGCCGAAAGCTTCACTTCCTTGAGATTTGAAGCAGATGGACCCTACCCCTATTGTCTCCCTCACACGACCCCCTGAAGCAAAGCCCACCCCTGAGAGTCTTGCGGCCTACCCCGCTTTTTCCGTCTCGAGGACCCCTCAGGAAGAGATCGATCGTTCGCTTTTCCCCGCCCTTCCTTCATATGACCCCTTCTTCTTACCAGGTGCATACCGGTAGTAACCCCTTCAAATTCCTCCGACCCCCCTTTTTAGACCGAAGGACCTCGCCTCAGAACATTGCACTCCAACCCTTACAATCGATGTAGAGGTGGGGTGGTCATTACCATTCGATAACCTCATAGAAGGGGGGTGGTAGTTGTGTTGGGGGGTTGCGAGATTCAACTTCAGGAGGGGGTACAGACAGGTAAAGATTCTTCTATCAAGTTGCCAAGTCAAACTTCAAGCCTTCTGAAGGGCGAGGTGTACTGTAGCCAATCTGTAGCCAATGGCGAGAGCTCCGAGGGGTGGGTGGGTACATGGAATATCGGAAGTGGGAGACCAGGGGGGGGGGGGGGGGGGTCATAGTGGACGAGGTGGTAGTTGAGTGGAATGAGGGCGATGAATCCGACAACCTTTGTGGCCCGATTGGCCGGCTGTTGTGACTCAGGCTGAGCCTGCTGTGCCTGGCCCGATTACTGGGAGGGCAGTGAGGAGATGAGGGACAAGTGGAGCTTGATAGCTGGGGTAGGGGTCCCAATCATTGTTGCCCACAGGGTAGTCGAGAGAATTTGCTGTAGGGAGGGTAGAAAGAAGTTGTCCCTAGGGGGTAGGGGTTGTGTGAAATTTGAAAGTTTGGCGGGGAAGGTGGCGGTGGAAGGGGGTGGTGGAAGTAACAGGAACCCTAGCCTGAGACGGACCGGGTGTGTCAATATCAAAAACGGGGGTTATGTTTCTAGCAGGGGTAGGCGTTTTTAGAAGTCGACGCCATGTCGTTGGAACTGGAAGCAACGATGGCAAAAGCATTACGATGGGCAGAGAAGAGCAGAGAGTTTAATGGAGAACAGCTTCAAGAATTTGTATCCGTCATCACAACGTAAGAATTCGACTTTTGATTTGCTCGTGTAGAGACAAATGGAAATAGAGAACATGATTGAATTGGTGTGTTTTCGTGCGCCTTGATTACTGATGGATGGCTTGACATCAACTACATCACTAATCTGATTTGAAGACTTCTTGGAGTTGCTGTCCCCAATTCCAGCATAAACGGAGGAGAAAATCTTGATAGTGGAGCATTTGGCGTAAGGACTTCAGACACTTTGCTTTGGTGTCACTAACGAAGAAAATTGCTTTAGTCCATTGAAAAAGCTATGTTTCATGGGAGTCCAGTTGCAGTTAAATATCTTAAACCGGTAAACGCGTATTTCATGCGATTAGATCTGACGCCCATCGATGCATAGACGGCAGGGTCAGGAAGATCGCTTCCTCAACTTATTCGAGATTTGTCACTAGAACTGGAAATTATCACTCAGCTGCGCCATCCCAGGTTAACATGATCTCTGCAAGCATCAACGATAACTATGAGACTTTAGCGTTGTAGCCTTCATGGGCTCTACTTTAACTCTTCCTAAAGACGAAGAGGATTGCAACAAACTCTCTATTGGCCTGGTAACTACATGTCATTGCCAATATTAGTTGTGGTCATGCTGCTCGATGCAGATCTTCGAATTATGTGGTGGAGGAAACTTGTATAGGTTGATTAACGAAAACAAAAAACATAAGATTTCTGCATTTCAAAAGATGTCAATGCTTAGAGACCTAGCTACTGGGGTATTCCATAAGCTTTCACCAAATTTTGATGACTAATCTTATGTTCAAGATTGCTTACCTACACTCAAAAAATATCGTTCATCGAGATTTGAGCTCGAAGAATATTCTTTTAACAGGTCATAATCGTTGCTGAAAGTTTCCAGACACTCAGGTTGGTTACGTGGCAGACGAAGGAAAGGTGAAGATTGCTGATTTCGGATGTGCAAGAAAGTTGCAGCATGAGAGGTGACATTGATAGCAATTTTCTTGGTCCAATATTGACAATCACCTTCATTTGTTTCCTCAGCTATAATTCTTCCACGATATCAGGTTGATCGGGAGGGATAGCTCTTGTCTACAGCTAACTGTTGATTTCGATAGGGAGCCCCCCTTGGATGGCCCCAGAGCAGATCAATGGGAGCTGTCTTTCTCTGAAAGTAGATGTCTGGGCGTATGGTGTCATCATGTGGGAGATTGCTATGGAAATGCCACCGTACTCAGACATTCCAAACACTATGAACTCTCTTCGCACTGCAATCAACGAGAAAGGTTGCAATGCAGATCATCGGGAAGTGTGCTTTATATTGACAGATGCTGTAAACTGTAGGGCTTCCATTGCCAACTGATCACGCACTGAAGGGCTTACCAGAAGATGTCAGGAAACTCTATCAGAAACTCTTTTCGCTTCTGCAAATGCAGCACCCCTCGTATGAATCTGAACCCTCCAGCCTCTGCAAGTTGACATCTCAATAGGTTGCGACCGACTGCCGCACAAACGCTAGAAGCCATTGAATCTCTGAACTCCGTCGTGGCTCATCATTCCAAGGACTCTCATGATAAATCGAGCAAGGATTATTTGTCAAAATGTGCAGATCTTCTCGAGAGTCTGGATAGGCGAAGTCGAATAGGAACAATGCTGATTGAGTTCTATCGTGTTCACAACATTTCAAAGATAGACACAATCGGCTCTCTTCTGGATCAATTCGAAGGTGTCGCTCGCTGGCACAGTCTCAGGTGTGAGAATGACATGCCGTGCAGGCCGACTGGAAGACTTGAACGAGTCTTTGCGCAAGAGGTACAACGCTGATCTGAATGGAAGCTACTCAGGTCTTGATGAGACTCTGCTATGCCCCCCCTGATTCTTCGTGATGTAGCTGCAACTGCATCAGCGAAAGGTACGAATGGGGCACAGCGGGTTGGTCAAGCAGCGGATTGGGCGGATATCTCAATGGGAGGATTGAACGGCACGCAGAGCTCTATCAAAGTATTGTGTGTACGGTCTTTAAACCGTAGTTTGATTTGTCACCTGCAGCACCTGTATGATCAAGCAGCGATTGAGATGGAGGCGATCCACTACATCACTCTGTTTCAGGCTCTCTTTCACTTCTACAAGATCTACAATCCTGTGCAGATTCAAAAGATTCAGGTGCTCCAACCTCATCCTGAGTCAGTCCTGATCGTGCTAGCAGCAAGTCCTCGAGTTCTACAAAGGCAAAGACGATCTTCTCAACCAGAAGTTGCGCGAGACTTACGGAGCTGACCTCTCCTCGGTGAACCACCTGCTGGTGTATCCGCTCATCGGGCAGCTTGCAACTCCCGTCTCGCACGTGCAGGAGCATACGCATCATCCGCAGGGGAGAGAAGTCGCAGCGACATCATCTGGAGCCATGGTGGTGGATCCAGCGTGTTACACCTTCATCAACTCAGAGATGATTCTGACTGACAACTTGAACGTGTCGAGCAGCTACTTGTTTCCTGAGTCTTCCCCCGGCATACATTTGGCGTCTGGTCAAGCTCTGCCAGGGTCCATAGGGCATCATCTGACTTTTGGGACCCCGGACTTAACGGCTCATTCCTTTGACAGTCTGCTCGCATCTGGATTGAACCCCGACCTCGCCGCGTTTCACACCACCCAAGCAGCTCTCTTCTCCTCGCACATCGACGCGGCGCACTTCCAGGGCTAGCTGAGCAACCCTCCTTCTCCTCGCTACTTGCTTGGTGGCCGATGATTTCATTTTTGAAGATGTGTACGAACTTTAGTCTGCTGATACATGAGAGGATTGCGTCTTGCACATTCTTGTAGTCACCTTTAGATTTTTTGATCTTTTCAGTGATTTAGGCTTCTTCTCACTCTTCTCCTCTACGTGCCATTTCAAGTCAATAAAAGACGAAACAACAAAATTCAAGCATTCAAACACACAGCTGGTCTCACTTTGCTGGATGTCTTGTACCACAAAGTTGTGAGCAACAGCAGGCTTTTCTTGTACACGAGTAGGAATATCTTCGAGATCCTCTGATTCGTACTCTCCGTACCTGTCCTTGGAGTTAGGATAAATGGCAGGTCAGCGTCTAGAGTTCGAACTTTTGCTCGCTGCCTTGGCCGACTCTTTCACTGGCTTCTGGGCTCTCCGATCTCATCTGAAGACCAAGTGAGAAGGGTTTGAGGGGAGAGGACTTCACCTCTTCTATCTCCCCGTCAGCTGACTGAGGCGCCTCTCTGTCCCCAGTATCCATCTCATCGCTTGCTTCGTCTTCATCTGAATGCTCGACCTGCAACAATGGTGTTGACCTCCATGATTTCCCTCTGACCAGCCTATACCTTCCGAGTCGGTTTTCCATGCACGTCCCTCCATGATGGTCGTAGATAGATCTGCCGTACGATCGCTCCTTCTCCTCGGCTTCCTTCCACCCCCATGCTTCGATTGTTGAAGCCCAAGATCGCTCGTTCTGCAAGTTCCGCTGTCCGGAACTTAACGAAGGCAACTCCTTTCGATCGGAGACTCTCGTCGGGTCGCTTGGGTTTGCGTTGTCTGAGCAGGTGGATCTTAACAACAGCTTTCTGTTAACCAATGAAAGAAATTCAGAACATGTTGAGGGATAGCTAAGTCAAAGCACCCATCCAAGATCGGAGAAAAACTGCTTAATGTCGGACTCAGAAGCCGAGTATGGCAAGTTGCTCATAAACACTTCTCTAGGATCTTCTTTCCTGTTTAAACCGCGCGAGGACTTTCCACCCTCCCTCTCAGCGAGTTTTTTGCCATCGAGAATCTTGACAGGGAGATCAGTGAAAGAGTCAGGTCAACTGAGCCTTACCTCAAGTCTCTTGCACATGTTGATCACAGTATCTCGATAGCTTGACACATTGCAAATCGGATTTCCTTTCGCATGCTTTCACACAAATTTGAAGTTTTCAGGAGCAAGTTACCAGCCAGGTTGAGGTTGCGGAGCATTTTACACCCTTTGAGCGCCTGGTGGACATTCAGATGTACGATTGCACACAGAGAATGTAGCAAACCATGATCCCAGACATGTTGGAAATTCTGTTATGGCCCAAGTCAAGAATCTGCAGGTCACTGCTGAAATATCCTAGCGGAATCTCCTTGATCTTGTTATAAGCCAACCGTAGCTCCTGCCCAAATCTCATCAAGAGCGAGTCTGATCATCAGAATCGTTGCAGGTTACTTGCAAATCTTTGTTCGTCTGGATCTCTGGGAACTTGGAAAGGCGATTATGAGAGAGAGAAATCTTCTTAAGCTTTGGGAAATGTTTGAAGAACTTGGTTGGAAACTTTCGGAATCTGGGACGAAGGAATCAACAAGAGGTTGACAAGAGATTTCAAGGAACCAACAAGAGGTCAACAGGGGGTCAACAAGGGATTAAAACCCAAGGGGTCAACAAGAGATCAAGGATAGCAGCAGCTCACGCCTTGTCTCGTACTCACTGATTCGAGGAGAGCAGGAGTGACTCGAGGAACGGAAGGGATCCTTCATAGTCCAGTTCGTCCACGTCAAAGATCTCGTTGTTGTTTGCTATCAGAGCCCTCAGCTGCTTGCATGTCCCCACATACTGCAGTCGAGAAATGTTGTTGTGCCCGACATTGAGGACCTTGAGCGACCCCATGCCCATGAGGGGCTTGTCGGTCAAGAAGCAGTTGCGCGAAGCGTCCAACCAAGTGATGGTATGCACGTTTCGGAACCCACCTGGTTCGCTCGTGAGCGCGAGTGACACAAGATTCCTATCACCTAGGTCTATGAGCATGTTGCCGCTCAGGTCCAAACGTGTCACGTCCTGTAACTGGTCGCAATTCTCGTCGATCCTCGTTAAATTTCTCTCCCTTGCTTTAAGGAACCCTCTGGAATCCTGAAGCGCTCTTGCCGATGAAGCAGAAAGTACTCCACCATTCACATCTCCTTCTCCTCCTCCTCGTAAGGACATGATCCTGAAATGTGAGGTAGACACAGTAACGCGATTCTGAGGAGAAGAGGAAGAAATTCCGTTCTTCCCTCCAATCCACACCATCGACAGCCAACATACTAGTGCAAATTTGTTCAACATGCTCCCTACTCTCACCTCACCTCACCTCACCTCACCTCACCTCACCTCAACCCACCATCTCTTCTATCTATGTCGTTCCTCCCGAACTTCGCAATGCATCCCTTCTCTTGCCGGAGAAATCAAGCTCGCCTCAGGTGCTTTAAATGATGACGATAGAGGACAGCACTAGATCATACCGTAATGCTCGAGCTGAACGAAGCGAAGCGACGACATGGAAAGAACCGAGGAGACGAAGACGTGGACGGAACGGGGCTGGGCGGGAGAGGAGAGGAGGGGAGGGGAGATGAGGGGAGGAGAGGAGAGGGGAGGAGAGGAGAGGAGAGGAGAGGAGAGGAGAGGAGAGGGGAGAAGAGGGGAGGGGAGGGGAGGAGAGGAGATTTAGGAGAGGGGAGGAGAGGCGAGGGAAGGGGAGGGAAGGAGAGGAAGGGTTGAGGCAGCGAGTAGAGTGACATACAGAAAATAGATGAGACCAGGTGGGGAGAGGTGGAAGGAGAAGGAGATAGGAGAGGGGAGGGGAGTGGAGGCGAGGCGAGGAGAAGGAGGTGTGAAGCAAAGTGAAGGCAACATGACATATCGTTGTATTATAGAAGCATTCGGGGAGATGTGTACATACATTTCAGTGTTGCTGTAGCTTGTCCACTTACATGCGACACTAACTGTAACTTTAGACAGGATTTATTCAAGATGAGATCGGAGTAGACCCCTTGAACGACCGTCGCCATGTCAAAGTTTTCGCTATTCCTTCTCACATTTCAACTTCTGCTCTGCTACGCGTTGGGCGATCACGATCACGATCACGATCACGATGACCACGACGATCACGACCACGACCACGACGATCATCACGTGTACTCGCTGAGCACCAAACGTTACTCCTCCCAGGATCGAGAAGAGTCTCTAGATTTTGCCTTCTTGCTTCTGGCGATTATCACAATCGCTGCCATTAAGATAGGCTTCGGGTTGGCTCCACGATATTTCCGAGGAGACCCGCGTATCCTCAGTCTTGCCAACTCCTTCTCAGCAGGTGACCTCCAGCTCATCTCCCAGCTGGACTCACTTCAGCTCAGGCGTCTTCTTGGCATGCGGCATCGCGCACCTGCTGCCTGAGGCCGTGCACGAGTTCTCCTCCCTCCACCTGCTGCAGGACCTCCTGTCACCGGAGAAGGGAGCGTTCATCTGCTGCGGGATCGGCTTCCTCCTGACGTTGCTGCTCGAGAAGGTTGCTCTGCACCAGTAGCACCTCCTTCTCACCTGCTCCAGGTGCTCATGAAGCGTCCTCCATCCAAGGACCAGGCCGACGATGAGGAGATGACTTTGCAAGGCGAGGACGAGAGCAAAGTCAAAGCACACGGTGGCTGTCTCGAGCCCTTTGCTGCACGAGTTCTGACAGGTCATGATCGCAGTGCACAGCCATTCCTTCGACCCTGAGCTGCCGTTGCTCCCTCTCATCCTCACAGTGGTGCTTTCCTTCCACTCCTTCGTGAGCGGGTTGGCTCTCGGGGTGCAGGTAACTTTCTTGCCCCTGCTCCCTCTCGCTGAGACCTGGCGGGCAGTCGGACGCACACAAGGCTTTCCTCCTCTGGCTCGCCATCGTCCTCCACAAGTGGGTCGAGGCGTTCTCGCTCGGCGTCAGCTTCGTGCGTGCTGGCACCTCCCTCAGCTCGACGATGCGCTTCCTCTGCGCCTTTGCTGGTGGGAGGGGAAGAGGAGTGAGAGCGGGAGACACATGACGAGACTTGCAGCGTCGTCGCTCCTGGGGATCGTCGTGGGATGGACCCTCCACAAGTCAGCCCCGAAGAGCTCGACGCGGGCGATGACAGCAAGTCAGTGTCTTGTCTTCACCCCCTCCCCATCCCCTTCTCTACTTTCCCTCCTTTCTCCCCTTGTTCTCCTTCTCTACCCCTCTCTCGCTCTCCCTTTCCTTCGTTGTCGTTGTGTGTGCTCGGGCATGTCTCCTCTCTCCGCCTTCCACTGCTCGCTTGTTTCGGCTGACTTCGATCAAGTTTTGGACGGCATGGCCTCGGGGACGTTCGTCTACATCGCTGCGGTTGATTTGATTGTGGAGGAGATGTCAGTAGCGTACAACGTCACTGCCAAGTTCTTCTCTATCGTGGGAGGATTCTTCACTTTCGTCATCCTCTCCTCTCACAGCCACTGAGGGCCCCACAGTGAGTCAGCTGACCTCGAGCTGGAGAGTATTTTCCTTTGTGTCCCATCGATTTATCATACAATCTCCCTGACCTCACACTTGTACCTCTACAGCTCCACGTCGGTTAAGAATAAATCGTCTGCTTCATCCCCTTACACGAGTTGGGCACCACGCACATTCGCTGTCCCTTGGGCAGGAACGCGGCACCCGCTAGGTTGAAGTTCATCTCCACCACTTGGCTCAGCGTCATCCCGAACCTCGCCGCCACCACGTCCAGCCCCACGTCCGCCAGCTCCGACCTGTACACGTGCCCGACGCTGATGTTCTGCTGGCTGTAGACCAGATAGTCCGGGTGAAACACCTTGGCGTTGAGGCTCCACAAGAGGATCCAGTCCATGTTGAAGAGCGCCGCGATCTCCTGCAGCTGCTGGTCCCGCCCCACCGAGTACACACAAGGCAGCACCGTCACAAGGATGCACCGCTCTGACGACGAGGGTACGAGCCCAGCACAGGTCGAGCTGCTCAGCAGCTTCTTCGCCACAAAGCAGCTCAGCGAGCTGTACCCGCCCACCTTGGGCGAGGGGGTCCATCTCAGCGTCTTGTACCGCCCCGTACAGCCCCAGCTCGCAACCAGCAGGGAGGATAGGGAGGCGCCCGGAGGAAGCATGCTCCCCGACGCCACCTCCAGCGATACCTGCGACTGACAATCCGCCACAGACACGCCGAGGTCAACTGCAGTCTCCCTGCCCATGATCAGCTCGACTGATGCTGGGATCGAGCTGTTGAACTTGGGAGCATCTTCCACGATGACGTTGATGCCTAGGCACTTGAGAGGAGACATGGCGACCGTCGCGTAGTTGGCGATGCACAGACCGTTAGACGAGCAGTCAGCGTTCGACTTGCATGATCGGTCGAGCTGGTTGGAGCAGAGCGAGCCGTTGAGGAAGCGAGCATGCGACTGGAAGCAGATGAAGTTGATCCCCAGGTCCTGCTGGCAGGGGGTCCACGTCACCTTCATCGACACACTCTGACTTGTCGTCGACGTCGTCGACCTCGCGGCGTGGAAGAACATCGTGCTCGGCGACCTGCCGCTGTCCAGCAGCAGCTTTTCAACACGCATGTCAGCACCCTCCCCGGCTCCACCTCTCGCCTACCTGCAGCGACGACAAGTCGCTCGACGAGGTCACCGTGCTCGTCACGGTCAGCTCCAGGTACGTTCCCGCGGTCACACTCAACGTCGACAACTTGGCCATCATCGGTGGGAGGCTAGTGGAGGCATCGGCAGAGCCTGAGCTTGAGAAGAAGCCGGAGAACTCCAAGCTCGGCTCGTTGATGGTCAAGCTCCCGACCTTGAACTGACTGACGCCGCTGCAGCTCACAGCTTCGATCGTTTGCGAGACGATGTCGACAGGCACTCCGGTCAGGTTGGCATCCCATGACAAGTAGACGGTCAACTGGTTGTAGCCCGGAAGAAGCTGCAGCGACAGAGCGTAAGGGCTGACCGAGGAGTCTGAGGGCGCCTGTACACACTTCTGGCTCGCATGCGAGACTCTCGGGTTCGCTACGTCAGTCTTAAGGATGTAGTTCGACTGGTCTACCCCCATCGGGTACGTCGGCCTCACTTGCGAGTATCGGCAGGTCGTCCTGTAGGCTGGACATGAGCTGTCTGCCGCCGATGCCTTACTCCAGTCAAAGCTGTACAGAAGCAGCAGCTGGGAAGCTATCTGGTAGTCGGTCGCACTTGTCATGCTCTGCCCGTACAGGGAAGTTGGGTCTCCATAGCTGTTGGACAAGGACGGCTCAATCTGCCTCTGGTACCACCGCACTATCTCTCCTTCGTTCCTTTCTCCCAGCCAGAACCGCCATTCTCGTAGCGATCTGCACAGCATCGCTCACATTCTTCCCTCACTCCTCAGCGTCCAGGCTCACCCGTGAAAGTAGGACGGGGGACCCGCCGCTCCTCGATATCCTCCGAACAGAAGGTAGGCTCCCGACCCCATGGAGTCAGTCGAGTATGACGTGCGAGGACCCTCGACCTGCAGTCAACATGAGTCCACCGCGTCACTCCTGCTTGACAAGCTTCACCGGGTTCGATTCTCCTTCCGACAAGGCTTTGAGCGCAATCCCCGGGCGTCGCCCTCCCGTGCACCCTCCTCCTGCTTGGCACGGAGGATACTCTCCCTTGCTCAGCACTTGCCTGCACGGAGGTTCGCGCGCCACGTCAGCAACTAGTATCGAGGAAGGGCAGGGATCATCACACCCGTTGACGTAGACTTTGTAGGTCGAGTAGTACTTCGAGCTCTGAGAGAACGAATGGCGAACTACCGCCAAGTGCATGCAGCGACCCACTGCCAGCTTCTCCTGCAAGCCAAGTGAGCAACTACCGCTCTACGGCCGAGCACGAAGAAGCGCGAGAGCATCGAAGCATTACCGCCATGGCAAATGCAACAACGGACAAGCTAAAATTGTTGTTACTGTCGATTTGCAGCTCGTGTCCGACCGTCACGTGTGTCTCGTTCACTTTCACGTAGCTGACATCACAACATCGTCACCTCTCGGAGCATAACGAGCACATTCAGTACATCATTGATATCTCGCAGCTCTTGCTTGCTTGACAAGTCGCGGAGCTTGATCCCGTGGAGAGCACGACTCCTCCTTCTGCCGAGTCGATTCTGACCACGCCTTCAATCTGACCCCACACCCGCTCGTCAGCGCTTCCTCCCACCATGTTGGTGGCACACAGACAGGACAAGAGCGTATGAGGGGAGTGAGATTACCGTGGACGCAGGGACGTTGACATGCGACTGTATCAAGTACCCCAAGCAACGCAGCCCGTTCTGTCTCATACTATCAGTTCTCCTCGCAACCCTAACAAGTAGTCAACATTTTGTCCAATGACGCACTGCTCTGCAGATGTAGCGATGTGGTAGCTCAGCGGAAGCATGGCGATGCCGTTGCCCGTCTGATCGCCGAACTGTGTCAGCGTGTTTGTCTGGGTAGGCTCGTCCACTTTCAGGTAGGGAGCAGACACAGACCGACCCTGCGGGTCTCTCATGGCCGCAGGGATGAAGACGGTGACGTAGTCTCCGTATTGAGCATTCTGACAGTACTTCCCTCCGATCATGGGAGGAACGAAAGATCGCGGAGAGCTGACGCTCCGGAGCAGGTCAACCTCGCCAAGCAGCAGCCACGGCTGGTTCCCTCCTTGCAGCAGGTTCGAGATCCGACAGCATCCTGAGAACTTCACGACCCAAGGTGACCCGCCGTTGTTGGGAGTAGCGTAAACATGCTCGAACACTGCCTGACCTAAAATCCAGTTGCTCTCGATCGAGTATGCGATGATCTTCATCGTCAGCCTGTCCAATATGAAGCCGTCCCCGAAATCAAACATGGGCGTCTCTCGTCCTACCATCACCACCATGTCTCCGATCTGCGCGTACCCGTCCCTTTCCGTCCCTCGGAAGTACCCTGTATCCACAACGCGAGTGAAAGCAGCCTCCACGGTGAACTGCACGCGATTTCCTGATATCGCGTCCCAGAACAAATGACCATAGCGGAAAGTGCCGCTGAGGGCAGAGGCTGGAGGAGCCGGTCAGAGAGTTTGAAACGAGCACAAGGCATGCGACTAGACTCACCTAGTTGACCTTGCGAATCAGCTGGACCAGCCAGAAGCAGCACAATGCAGAGAAGAAACGATCTCGACATCACGATTCGTCTTTTCACTGGAAGTAGCTTCTGATGCTCGTATTGTTCTTCCTGGTATCAAGCTTCTCCTGTCCTCAGCTGCCTCTCTGCTTCTATCGTCGTTCCTCTTTCCTTTCCTCTTCCTCCCCTCTTCTCGTCAAACTCTCATGCCGACCCTTTGTACTCCCATCTTGTCAAAATCTCATCTCAATTGGGTCCAATACCCGTAAATGAGACTATAAATATTTGAAATTGCATAGTGAAATTTAAAGACAATTTTGATGTTGTCGCTTGACCTTTCGAGCAGAGGGTCTGTACTGGGCATGCCGAGTGAGAGAAGCGGCATGCAGCGGTGCGTGCGCTCCTGGAGCTGTTTCGCAAGCTCCTCCCACCTCTTGTCTTCTCTCCTCCTCCTCCTCTCTTCCTTGCCCACTTCTCATGGTCAGAACACCTCCTGGGTCAGCCCCACGAAGCCTTGTACCTCGCCCTTGTACCTCCCTACTTGCCCTGTCGTTCAGCAGTGTGCAGATGCTTGGTACAACGTCTCATTCCTGGAAAAGTTCACCTTCTCTGTTGCCGCCATGCATCCTGTCTACGGGGCAGTCACCATGCGAATCAACTCGTATGAGACCGCAACCCCCAACGAGGTTGCCTTCCTTCTCAGGCCTACCATCTGGTCCAATTTGGACTTCATGAACCCCACCTATACTCCCCCTGCCACAGCGACAGCCTGGTCTAAGTTCTCTCGCCCCAACAACAACGTCTCGTTGCTGACCTTCTCATGGAACTTGACAGCGCAAGAATCAGTCACTGTCAAGCCGGGCATCATCAACATGACCATGTCAGCCGAGTACATGTTTGCAAATCTGCCTTCGAACAACTCAGCTTGCAACAAGACGTTTCATTTCGTTGTTTGCGGTAACCCTTATTTTGAGCTCACGCCCAAGATTGATTTCACTCCATTTCTTGGTGCCCCGAAGTTCCAGACCTTTCCAGCTCAGACGTTCACATGTGGAGTGACTCAGCCTTGTGTCTTGACGCCGGGGCGAACGGAAGTGATCAATGGGAAGTCGATCAATGTGTTTGACTTCGGCATGTACAACATGAACACTCAGATTAATCGAGGAGTTTTCCTTGAAGAGCCCCTCGAGGTTCACGTGGCCGCCATAACCTTCAACTATGGCAGCAGGGCCAAATTCTTCGTCGCAGTTGATCCTGGAATACCCATTGGCATGCGTGTGGACCCGGAGCCCTGCCCCACAAATTCTACGGAGAATGCTTGCTACAAGATCTCTTGGACTCCCAAGGCAAACAACCTACTCGACCCTATCGTGCTGGGTGGACCAACCCAGTACCTCTATGCCTTCTTCTATGCGCAGACGGAACAGACCACTTTATATGGTTGTGCAAACAAGGTTTCTCCTATGTCAGCCATCAAGTTTGGAATCTTGCTTCCAAATTCGAAATGGACGTTGCAGGCGCCCTCAACGGTCCAACGTGCCTTTGTCGGAACTGAGTATTCGATGCACGTGATGTGTTATTCCAACTATGTTCCCAGAGTTGATGTACAAGGCCCGCTGAGGGGAAACATCACACTGGTGAACAGCACCACTTATCAGAACGGGGAGAAGGAAGTGACCTACTTGTTCAAGTACTTCCCCTTGAGAGGCGACGAGGGTCACACCTTCAACTGGGTCTTCTCCTGTGGGGACTCGAAACGCATCGTCCCACCACTCACCAGCACCTTGAGCTTGAAGATTGAGCTCTGCGCCTACACCGTTGTGCCCATGGACACCTTGACAACCCTCACACGAAGGTCGGTTGATGGAGCTTGTGCGGTCGACCTGACTCACCGCAGGTATCAGCTGAGCACCAACTGGCTCAACCTGTGGAATGCAAACCCGTAATGATCATCATCTTGACTTGCGACTTGCTCTCACTGCCGCCTCAGAACTCGCGTGCCAGATCCCGACATGAACCTCGCCGTGGGCGACATCATCAAGGTCGGGCCTGTCTACCACACCATGGCCGGGGAGACGCTCGCCTCCATCGCAGGTCGGGTGTTGTTGGTGGCGACGACTAGGGGCTGAGCCTTCTTGACAGGAAAGTTCTCGACTACAGTGAAGCAGCTCCTCAACGTCAACCCCCAGCTGTCTGTGCAGACACCAGACGTTGAGCTTGCAACCGGAACGGAGATGTGTGTGATGGCCTGCACTAGCCTGCCCAACCCCTCGATGGTCTATAAGTGGGCTTATTGATTCGTTTGATGCGCTAGCTAACAGGAAGGAGGCTGATGTTGATGTCTCTCCATCAGCTTCTGCGTGTGCCTGACCTTGTTCGCTGTTAATATGTATGTATAGTGTGCTTCAACACAAAGAAGATGAAGTTATTTCACTCAATCAATGAACGTCAAGACGTCTTAAGTAAGCGCCTCATGACAAATATCAGCACAACAGAACCTCCCACACCCATTAACATCGTCCGCGTGTTCAACCATGAAGGGATTATATCTGTGCTGTCCTTGTTCTTCTCCCACGGCAAGGAACCATCTTCATCGAATGGTAGTTGTGACCTGCAGAGCATTAGCAAATCCTCGACATAAGAACGATGTCCCATCAGTGAGCACATGGCAATATGCAATATAGGGGGGGTTACGAAAAGGAAAAGGGAAGTTATGAACAGCCAATGAGGTTGCAAATAGAAGAAGCGAAAAGATGAGGACTGAACCATAAGCTGGTAACCTGTTGATGGGCGTCAGGCTGTCCATGTACAAGCCATTGCTGGCCGATGCACTCGAGTCGATCGCTTCCTTCGAGTTCGTCTCGTTGAGCTCTAAACTTAGAACCACATCTTGTCATGTTCAATCAGTCAGGTGCGAAGAGAACCAGTCTCCTCTCTTACCCTCTCCCCTAACAGGATGCCGATCCATCACCCGTCCAACTTCACTCTCCTTGAGCGCACGATTCCAGAAGGTCACCTGACTCAAGTGAGGCCTCGAAGGACGAGGAGGAGACCAACAGGGCCGATGCTTCCATGGAATGCGTACCAGCCCATGTCCCCCCATTGTGTGCTCCCGATGACAAGCGGCTGCATGAGGGTCACACAAGGCTGAGACCAGCACATTCACTGCACCGCATCATTCTTCCTCATTGGCGGCAGACCGTCTCTGCTTCCTACGAGCTTGCCATTGACATACAGTTGAAGCACCTAGTAAATCATATCAGCATGCTCTCGACGGCTCTCAGCGGATGGCATGGACCCCTCCTTCCGGCTTGAAGTGGTAGGTCATGAGGATGCAGCTCCACTTGTTGATGTCGATGCTGCAGACACCGTTCATGCTGGCAGGTCTCGTTGCGCAGTCACCTCGCAGACACGTTGTTCTTGTTCCATTCATTGATGTACGCATGAATCGTGTTCGGAGGACTTCCATACATGCCAAACCCATCTGTCCAGCTCCTTCGTGCTACAGTGAGGCTAACTGTCCTGTCCTTGAATGCTCACCTGCTCTTGCAGAGGATGACAGGCCATCCGGGCTCTCGCTGGTAGCCTTCTTCGTCGCTCCAGGACTTGGGTTTCACCCAGACCTGGCTGGGAGTCAGCCGATTGTGTTGAACATCCGTTGTGCTACCTGCATCGAGAACGATCCAAACAGCAGGTTGGATCCATTGGGAACCTCAACTCTGACGCTTCTTTTCTCTACCTTCAGCACCATAACTGCAGCGGCTGATTTAGTGCGAAAGGAGGAGAAGAGGAATACCTTCTCCTCATCCACAAAATTTCATCTATCTCATCCTTTCACTCTTTCTCTCTCTCGTCTCATCGTGATCTCTTCATTTCTCACACATCGTTATTCGTTCATCCCTCTTTCCATTCTCCTTCTGTTCGCCATCTCCTCGATCCTGCCCATACGGCAAGAAGAGAAGACTGTAGAAGGTGTATTGACTGATCCTACAAACCCGCCTCAACAAGGTACTACTAGGAAACAGAAAAGGCAGCGAACACCTCTACTCCAACCAAGCAGAGCGTAACTTTGAGTGACTGAGACCGGCCGCTCCGAGCCGCCTGCCTTTGTTGGAGGCCCGCGGCCGAAATAACGGGCGGTTGACTAGAGCCATCAAGGAAGAAATGGCGGAGGGAGGAGATGGAGGCGGAAGAGGAAGAGGCGCAGCAGGCTACTACAACACACCGAGCATGGAGGCGAGAGGCATGGAGGCGGCAGCAGGAGCAGGAGGCTCAGGCGAGGCTGGGGGGACTGCCGTGAGGAATGCTGTCCTTGTTTGGGATCGTCAAATATCGCAGCTGCGCGCTGACTCAGTGCAAGGAGGTCAACCTACAGCTTCAAGTCAGATCCCTCCTACTCGTGCTCTCTCAAACTTGGCTCGTGCTTTTCAAACCTCTCCTCGATCCCCCAGGCCACACGCCTTGCAACCTGAGCCCAAGCTTCCTTCCACATCGTTCTCTCGAAGAAGTGAGTTCGACTATCAAAGTTCCCAATCCTCGCAGTCCTCCGATCGAGAACCGTCTCCTCCTCTCCTCCCGAACGAGACATCGCGGCATCCTCCGTTGCGTTCATTGCAGCGGGCATGGAAAAGCGAAGATGGACATTCTGAGTTCAAGTCCAAACCTCCTCTACCAAGTCCAAGAACCTGTTTCTCTCCTGTCAAATCGACTGTCACACAAGACACGCTCAAATCTGACAAGAAAGCTTGCATCAGCGATGCAAAAGGTCGACATCTCTTTCGACATCTCTTTGCTGTCTTTCGTTGTGCGCTGTTGATTCTGAACTTCAGCAGGTACGACGGTTAGCGATCTACGATCATATGCTTCATCCCTTGCCCAACAACTGGCGGCCATGCAGGCGAGCACATGCGAGCACATGCGAGCAGAGGACCTGAAGGGGCTGAAGTGATTCTGCAGGAAGCAACTTCGAGTCTTTGCTCGTTATCAGCTGAGTACGCAGCTTGGAATTGTTATATGAGCTCACTTGAGATATATGTCAGGCATCTCGCTACGACAGCTCTAAAGCTCGAGCTCGCGAGGGAGTGCGTTCAAGCTACTGAAGCAGCAAAGTCAGAAAACGACTTTCTGTCTCCTCGTCAGGATTCCAACTCAGCCAGAAAGATGTTGTTCAAGGGCAGCAGCTCAGACAGCGAGCTCGAGCATAAGACGCCAACAAAAGAGATTGTCTATCGATTTCAGGTGTTACAATGCCTTCGACAGTAGTGATAAAGACGATAATGTCTGAGGAGGCCATGAGGATGTGGTGGTGGTGATGATGATGAGGAATGTAAGATTCTTTTCTTTTTTCAGATGAAAGATTTGCATGACCGGGTGAATTTGGCGATTCATCAGGTAAGTTCCATACTCACATGTATTCCTCACGAAGAAGCAATCAGGTGCAAGGAGTGAAGGACTCGTCGGAGAAGATGTTTCAAGCGCTTTACGAGCAGTTTGTGTCTGTCAGCAGTATTGAAGATTCTTTGTCCACGTCAAACACGCTGCCTGCGGAAATCAACGAAAGAAGCACGATGGAGCTAAAACTTGACCGGTTGTTGCGCTGCCGACAAGTGCTGCTGGACAAGCAGCAGAGGTGAAGAGAAGAGAGAAAGAGGACATGAGTCTCCTCACGGCTCCTGCAGTGCCCAACGTCTTCTCTCTCTGCATCGCTCGCTCTCTGCTTGGTCTTTCCGCACCCATCTCATTCTCTCTGCTCTCCAAGACTCTCAACGTCACCACCGGCGTCGAGCTGCTTGCAGCTGCTTGGGGAGATGGCGCGAGTTCTGCGTTGGCAGAGCAAGGGGCATGCGAGCAGAGGAGAAGGTCGTGGCAGCTGGGGAGCAGGCGAGGAAGAGGTGGGTGAAAGTCGTGTGTCTCGCTACATGGAAAGATTTCGTGGCGTGTCTAAGACGGAGGCATCGGAGCCTCCAGCTCCTTCACGCGTCAAACCGCCGTCGTCTCCTTTCCTCCACCTTGGGGCTCTTTGCAGAGGCAACACTGGGAGACAGGTGTGACGAAGACAAGAGGCAGGAGGAGAGCAGCAGCAGCAGCAGCAGCCTGGAAGAGAAGCGCAAAGACGAGGGCGACGAGGATGGCGCCAGCTTGTACGAGGTACGGGAGGAGGAGCAGGGAAGGCAAATGAGGAGCGAAACAGGTTGAGCAGATGGAGCATTATATTCGAGAGCATGAGAAATCTATGGAGGTATTGCAGAGGTGATCAGACTAACATATTTCATGATCCCGCGATTATCTGACTGCTCCTGCGCTTGTTCGCCTTGATCGACAGAGAGCGAGCTGAATTTGCGAGCATCATGATGGAGCGCGAGAAGCGGCTGGTCGAGGAGGTGAGAGGAGAGGAAAGGAGGTTCTGGTACTCTTTTGACTTCCCCCAGGTGGAGAGGACTAGGGAGAATCTCCTTGCTGCTCTGGACACCGTCGATCTCCTCACAAACATGCTACCTGGTTGCTTTGTCCTCAGCCCCTGCCATCCCCACCCCCTCTTTCTCGTTTCTTCATTCTCCATCCTCCATCTTCTGCGACTACTGTTTCCGTTCTCAGCTGACCAGCAGCTTTGCAGAAGAGCTTCTTCGCCGTCTGGCTCCTGACAGCTTAACTCAAGTCGAGGAGGCCAAGGCAAGCTTGCGGGGAGCAAGGGAGGAGGAGGACAGAAGAAGACATGGGAAGGTAGGGGAGCGGAAGGGAAGAAATGGTGAGAAGGATACTCGAGAAGAAACGAGAAGAGCCTTGGAAAAGCAATCAAAAGAAGAAACATATACGAGAGAAGACCAACTGGGAGAGACTTGGGATCTATCGGAGGGATTGTGGACTTGAAAGGGATTCAAGGTGCAAGTACTCCCTTTGTTATAATGCATACATGAAAGAAGTGAATTTCCTTTGTTATAAATGCATACAGCTTTCGACGTCCTTACCAACCATCTTCAACATCAATCTCTTCTTCGTCTTCCTCGACAGATGACGGCATTTCCTGTGCAAACTGATCAGCATCAATTTTGTCGGAGTGAACTAAACAGCTGTCGGATTGGAAGAGGACGGGATGGAAGGAAGAGCAGCGAGGGAATGGCGATGAGAGCTGAGGCAGACCTGCACTTGTCCCTGGGGTTTCTCTCGCATGAGGTAAAGGTTTCCATCAGGGCCGATGAACTTAATCGGTTTTTTCGGTTTCCTAGCGGGAGCAGGTTTCGCCTTAGCATCCGTCACATCGTTGGTCCACTGATCGACCGACTCCTCCTCCTCTTCTGGCTGCTGCTTGTTGTAGTGCTCAATGAGCTGCAGCAGATGTCAGGCTGGGCAAGACTCCACGTCTCCTCCTCACCTCTTCCATCGTCATCTTGCGCGGGACCGGCACGCGAGGCTCGCGGAAAGCAGGAGCAGTTTGAAGGTCCTCGGGGTTGTACTTGCCCTTCTTGATGAGCTCGGTGACCTCCTCGTCGATGCGATAATGGTCCTTTCCATCAACAAACCGCTCGTCGATCTTTCCCCCTCCTTCCTCCCCTTCTCCCCTCCCTCCTTCCCCAGCACTTCTCTCTGCTCCTTCGCCCTGCATGTCAGCCGGTGCAAGGTCGTCGGACTCAGAGAGAGCGTCCATCATTTCCTTCCTGCTCTTCAAGAAGCTGACAGGATCGAACGTTTCCTCAGCATTCGAGCTAGAAGAGAAATCCACTTCCCGCGAAGATGAAAAATTAAAATCCTGCCAGGCACTGTTAGAGGAAAGGAGACATGACCTAGGAAGTAGCGGGTAGACGAGGAGCAGTCACAGAAGAAGTGCGGGAAGCTGAAGGAGGGAGAGGGGAGGAGGGAAGGAGGGAGAGAGGGAGGGAGGAGGAGGAGGCAGGAGGAGGGAGGAGAAGGAGGGAGGGAAGAGAGACCATGACGGGAGGTTCGATGACTTCGAAAGCATCGGCAAAGTGTTGTGCTCCTTCATGCGGATGAAATTTCGAACTGAACGCCATATTGTCTTGAGAAGAGGATGAAGAAAGAGTGTTTCTTGAAGCTCCATTTTCAGCTCCACGGAGCTTTACACACTCCTCACTCTCAATTCTTTCAGCCCTAGCAAAACCCAAATTCTTTTCTCCTTGGATGCTCCCAAAATCCTCTTCCCTGTTGTCATCACGGAGAGGGGCAGGGGCAGGGGCAGGGGCAGGGGCAGGGGCAGGGGCAGGGGCAGGGGCAGGGGCAGGGGCAGCGAGTGGGGAGGGAGGCGAAAGTAGAGGAGAAGGAAAAGGAGGAACAGTCATAAGTGACGGAGAGCCCATGCCGGTGGAAGCAGCGGGTGGTGGAAGGGAAGGATCAAGGGAAACAGGAACAGAATTCGTATGAAGCGAAGCAGATGGAGGAGAAGAGCGAGGAAACGAGGCGGGAGTGGGAAGGGAGGGAGCAGCTGAAGCGGAAGGTGAAGAAGGAGCGGGAGAGGGAAGGGAGGAGACAGCTGCAAGGGGAGAGAGGGGAGCAGTGGGAGCAGGAGGTGAAGAAGAAGCGGGAGAGGGATTGGAGGAGACAGTGGGAGCAGGAGAGCGATCGAATGTGGTGTTGAGCTGCTCGCTGTTTGCATCGTTCATGTTCCCGTCGAATTGAGGGAAGAAGCGAGCAAAGCGACTTGAGTCAGACGCTGTCTGAAGAAATAGAGACGATGCTAGGAGAGACTTGCAGTGACGCAGGCGAGAAACCTGGTGGATGAGGAGGCTCCCATTCTGATCGCCTCGCTGGCGTGCAGACAAATCAGAAGGAAGAAGGAGGAAATTGAATGGGAGAAGACGGAGAGATTAGGAGAAAGAGAAATGCGAGAGGACGAAAACATACGCAGGAAAGGGAGACAGGAGAAGGTGATTGGAAGGAAAGGAAGAAGGCAGGTCAAAGCGCAGGGAAGGGAAAGTCCCTTAGAATAAGAAAAGTTCTCACCCATGCGGTGAAGAATCTCATCTTGTGCTGTTGATATCCAAACATCAGAAATCATGTGTGGGACATGTAGAACAGAAGAGAAGGTTGTACCATAGCGGCGAGCAAATGATCTCGTGGTATGAAGATTGAAGCGTTTGCTCGAAGCGCGAAAGCGTCCACTTTGCCTTTTGTTTGCTTGGTCTCATGCTCTTCTGGCGCTAGTCTTTGCAAGCTCGTTTCAAAGATTTTCTTCATCTCATTGAAAGCCGACAACGTGAGCGTCTTGCTCACTGCAATCGTCTCCACATCCCCAATGGCCTGAAAAAAGTCAGAGCAGTCTCCTTCCCCTCTCTCCCATTCTATCTGTCAGTGACACAGTTTCTCACCTGCAAGTACAATCCTTCGCGGTCCTCTTGATCTAAGAAATGCAACTTGCTCATAAGAGCACTCCTGCTCTTTGCCAGCACATAATCTGTTGAGTTAATGGCTGAGCATCCTTCGCTGTCACGTGCGGTAAGAACCGCACTCAGTGCCACCAGCCAAGAAGAGGAGGAGTCCGCAAAGGCAAGCGTTCGGCCGCGAAAGAGTCGGACAGAGCAGACGTAGGAAAAAAGAAGGTCAATGCTGTGAATCTTTAGCAAGTCTGAAGGCTGAATTTGCAAGCGGAGGGAGGACAAAGAGCAGCAATCCTCATGCGGGACCGATGGAGCATCGCCACACAGTCTCTTCTTGCTGCGCAGGTCGGAGAGAGCAAGCACGTTCTGGTCTATCGCCGCGGTCTCGATGCTCTTGTCTGCCAAGAAGACTCGATCCCACAAGATCGGATCGCTCGAGCAGTTGAAGATTATCCCTTCCGTGCTCTTCAACAAATGGATCTGTTGGCTAATTTAGAAGCTGCGCTGGACAGAGGAAGCGAACCTGTAAGAGCTTGAGGTGTCGGAACGTGCGGAGCTCCCAACAACCTTCTGTATCCTCATCTCTGTCTCGAACCTGCTTGATTCCATCAGCATAAACACCTGAACATTCGATTCTCACATGAAAAGCAAGCTCTTCATCTATCAGAGTCTCGCCCTTGATTTGAACATGCAGATTTTTCTTCTGCAGCTTCACTCTAACGTCCCTTGCTCGTGTATCATTGGAAACTTTAACGTAAAGATCACACTGAAAAACATCTTGAGACCAGTAGAACTTGGGGAAGATCGCGCCATTGTAAGACAAAATTCTGATCTCGTCCATATCGTTGAGTGCGCTGCCCTCCTTTCTACCGTCTCGCGCAAATTTGTGAACCATCGATTCCCACCACAAGTCTTCATCATAAACAAGTTCTTGCAGTAAGTGCTTGCTTTCATTGAGAGATTCTTGCAGGGATCGAACCGCTGGATTGTCCTGCAATTTCATCAGGCGAACGATGAAGCAAGGAAGAAGCAGAGTGACCACCTCTGGGAGCCTTGTCATTAGGATGATTGTCTCCAGCAGCTTCTTTTTTGATGCCTCTCTCAGCTCAAGGGCCTCGATGCTCTCCGCTGGCTTGCCGGGATCGTACTCAGAGTCGTCCTCTTGCTCAAGTGCACGAGGGCCCTCAGGTCCCGGCCATGGAGGAGCGAGTTGGACCATCTTCTGTAGCATCTTGTGGGTGTTGGGGCCGACAAGCTGAGGAAGGTCTGACTGCGAGAAGGACCCACATGATCTTGTCCCCCACAACAACATCACAACCAGAAGAATTGGCTTGCGCCCCGCCATGCCCCGACAAAGCAGGGACGAACCAAATCGAATCAATTCTTCATATGAGATTTAAATCGAATTATAACAACTAACATTTCTGATCCTCCTTAGCTTGCTCCGGTTTTCCTCTCTTTTAAGAAAAGTTGGTTTCACACTTCAAAGACAGTAGATTTCATGTCTCAGAGAAATATCATTCTATTACACAAAGATGTATTCATTTCAAAGATGAATTAAGATGAATTCAATTCATATCTCAAGCATGAATTCATTTCATTCTTGAAACCCCTCTCATCTTCCTCTCGGCTCAATAATCTTCATCACTGTCTTCCCCTACAGCCCTCAAGTACCTGCAGCATCCTTGAGAGGCCAGTACACGGTCGTCTCGCTCACCTGTCATACTCGAGAGATTCATCGCCAAACACGTCGATGATGGTTTGCTGCAAACGCTTCAACGTCCCGCTCCTCATCCGCCTCTGCTCCGCCTCCATCACCTTGCAAGCTCCGATAGCGACTTCTTGGAAGTCTCGCTTTGGCACGTTGTACAACCGCTGGCGTGAAAAATAACAGAGTCAAGGGCAGCACGAGTCTCGAGCTGATCCCCGATCACCTCAAAATTTTCTGCACTTGTCCGACAAAATGAAGGCCGGTCTTGATAGATCCGACACCGTCTGCAGATCAGTCGTTCAGGCCGAAGGACGTTGAGGTCAAAAGTAGAAGAGTGGAAGAATAAGATTACTTGGTTTCTTTGTCGAGGTTGACGCACCAACCGTCTTCTCCGATCATCTCCTTGAACTAGGGAAAGTTAGGCTTCATCGCTCAGCACGACAAGAACCTTTTGAGCATCTTCAGGGTCTTCAGGTGGCTCAGGACCGAAGTCAGGAGCTGATTGAATGCATGTGTCAGACTATATTCTACACCCTACACCCTTCCTTCATCTCCTCTCCTCTGACTCCCTCCACCCGTCCGCTCCTCCCTGTGTCATTGAAAATTCCCCTCGTCTCACCCAAATAGCAGCAGGCACCACAGTTCTTGATGCAAACCCAGCGATCGATTCTGACATTGACCATCTGCATGACAGTGACCAGTCGTAATCCTTTCTTGCCTTCCGCATACCTCTTGATCTTCGTTCCAGCCTGATGCTGCACATGCGCTCAGACTGCATGCGCTTCTTGCGAATTTTCTGTGGGCAACGAATATGAAGAGCACATTGACTGCGTCTGCTGGAGGCGAATTTCGAGGGGGACGAGGGGGAAGGGGTCCGAAGTACTGGTAGAGCTAAGGCGAAATGAGACTCCCTCTTCTTGCTTTCCTCTGCAGGACCTGGCATGGCAACTTCCCGTTGTAGAGCTTCCTGCGCTTGGTTGCTTTCCTCCCAATATCCTGCTAAGTTTCAGATGGAGATGGAACAGTCAAATCTCACCTCCTCGAAGTGAACATCTCCGCTCAGAGCAAACAAACTCCAGGTGTCAAGTTTCCTCCAAAGAGATGCCTGTTTACAAAGTCATCTCTATCTTCCCTCAAAATTTCACGGAGTCCTTCATTCCTCCACTCCTCATGACTCCTCTCCGTGACCTCCTTCCCCATCTTTGAACTCCTCTTCCGCCCTCCATCTTCATTATTCACCGCACCAGCTCTTCGTTTGCTCGCTGCGACTCTCCCAATCGCATCCCATACGGTGGGTTCGTTACAATGCATCCAAACTCGCCAGGAGGAGGAGCAACGCGTGCTACATCAGCAACGCTAAGCTGCACGTGCTGCTGGACGTCTGCTGCTCTTAGATGTGAGTGAGTCAATTGGACGGCGCGTTGGTCGATGTCGGAGCCGAACAGTCGCAGCTGTTTGCGAGCCACCTTCTCCTCCACTTCCTTCCCTTTCGCTTCCTCCCGTGCCTGCGCCCATTCACTGCATCTCCTACTCAGCGACTGCATATCAAGGTGCATCCAACCTCGCAGGGCTCAATGTTGAAATCGATTCTGCCGCAAAGGAGCGCCGCATCCCGGGAGCGATTTTCCTTCCCATGAGTGCTGGAGGGCGTTTAACAAGAGCACATGAAGGCTCAGCAGACCTGCTTCAAGAAGGATGGTTCCACTGCCACAGAAAGGATCGTATAGAGGTCGGTCTGGAGTCCAACGGCTGTTGGAGGAGTAAGAAGAGATGGGAAGGATGAAGGACATTCAAGAGGAGGATGGGGGAACATGATGGTTGTTTCAAGGTTCAGCTTTCACCTCAACATGAGAATGCCGGCTGCAAGGGTCTCTTTGAGCGGGGCTCCATTATCCAACACTTTTGTGCGATACCCTCTCCTGCTCAACGCAGCTCCACTCGTATCGATCGAAATCTTCACCAAATTCTTGCTGATTGCTACCTCAACCTCACACACTCCGTTCCTAGGATCTTCCTCCACCCAATTTTCCTTTGTCACAGATCCCATGCCATTTGTAAGTGAAGAAGAAATCGCCTTCTTGCAGATAGACTGACAGGCAGGCACACTGTGGAGGATAGAGTCGACGCTCTTTCCAACCACTGGGAACGATGCGCCTTTGGGGACCCAGCGCTTCCATTCTATTGCAGACACGCCATCGAAGAGCTCGTCAAAGGAGCAAGCCTCGAACTCCGCAAGCTGCTGTCTTGTTAAGAGCGAGATCAACACGAGCAGAAAGAAGCACCTCAAGGAGTACTCGATTGGCTGTGCGAAGGTTGATGTTGAGACGAGGGATGGCAGAGGAGGGAGCTTGTACCTCCACTCTGCCATTCTTAGCAAGGCAATTGGAGTATCCAAGCTCTTCAAGCTCCTGCTTCACGAGGGCTTCGAGTCCCATCACTGTGCTAACTTGAAGCTTCAGGTCATCGCCCATCATGCAGATTTTGTTCTTATTTGTCATGGTAGCACATCTGAATGTTGCAGTCCTGATCTTATCAAACAAGTCATGTCGCCTAGCTCTTCCAAAGTGTTGATTGAGGTGTCTATACATCAGGTCAATCCCTCCAGTGCTGAATGATTTGAGCGGCTGGACAAGAACAGAGAGTAACAAGGCGTGAGCCATCAACCATCTTTGAAACAACTTCATCTTCCAAAACCTGGAATAAATTCATTTTTGTTCATGTTCAGTCAAATTTGCAGGGACATCCAGACATTGCGTCATCTGAATTCTTGTGGTATGCAAGATTCTTTCAGTCTCATTTGATCCCATCTCACTGTCCTCTTCCTCTCCCTGTCCTTCTTACCGTCTCTTCTCTCCTCCTCCTCCCACCATCTCTTCTCTCCTCCTCCTCTCACTCTCTCTCCTCTCCTCTCATCATCAAATCCGTCCCTCTTCCTTGATGGCCCCCATTTTTAAGAACCCCCATCCCCGCTATTACACCCTACTGCCCTGCTGAGGCGGGGCCAGAGCTGTGGGGCCAGAGGCGGGCTGGAGGCGGGTGCGATGTTTGAAACAATCTAGTCGAGATGCAGCAAGCTATCGACGTGAAGTTCGAGGTGATGAGAGGAGAAGAGATGACCGGGAAGGATGGTGGGAGTAGGGGAGATTCTGAGTCAATGACCGGGAAGGATGGTGGGAGTAGGGGAGATTCTGAGTCAATGACCGGGAAGGATGGTGGGAGTAGGGGAGATTCTGAGTGAATGACCGGGAAGGATGGTGGGATTAGGGGAGATTCTGAGTGAATGACCGGGAAGGATGGTGGGAGTAGGGGAGATTCTGAGTCAATGACCGGGAAGGATGGTGGGAGTAGGGGAGATTCTGAGTCCAGCGGGAAAGCAGCACAAATGGTCTCAGGGATGAGGTGATTCGGAGGATCCTGACAGATTCCACAGGATGGATCGAAGTATCATGGCATGTGGAAGGATGGTTTCTTTCATGGACTTGGTGTGCTTGATCTCATGCCTTCCTCGAGGTCGTTAAAATATGCTGGTGAGTTTCATTATGGATACCAGAGCGGGTTGGGCTTCTTAGAGGAGGAGCAGCGTTTGTATGGAGGAATGTTCAAGGATGGAGAAAAGAACGGTTTCGGGGTTGAGGAGGCAGTCCAAGGTGAAAAAGAGACATACATGGGAGAGTTCAAGGAGGGTCTGCGACATGGTATCGGAATAATCAGAAAACCTGCTTACTCCCGCCGATCGAAGAAGATGAGAACAATGTATGGACGATGGGAAAAGGGAGTCCAGATAGAGGAGGAGGAGGAGCTGGTAAGGTCAAGTGTGGGGGGTCTTCATCAAGTGTTGACGGAACTCAACATTAAACTGTTGGAAACAATCTCGCAAGTGGCGCAAGACCAGAAGCGATTTGTGGAGACTTTGTTCTGCAGCGGGACGTCTCTTCCCCAGGTGAAGGAAGGTCACGCTCTTGACCCCGCCAGTCATCCGAGCCGGAGCAGCACACCTACTTACATACTGGCCCAGCTGAAGAGAGCCGAGGCAGAGCTGAAGCTTGAGCGGGACACCAACATAAAACTCTCAGAGGATATACAGGTAGCACACAGGCAGATCTCAGCACAGAAGGCTTTGTTGGAGAAACAAGGAGAAGAGCTGCAGGCGAAGGAGGCGAACTGCTCGGAAATCAAGTTGGCAATGAAGAAACTCAAGGAGGACTATGAGCTTCGCATGAAAGCGGAGGTTGAGCAGGTGCACATCCATCTCAAGCGGGAGAAGGAGGAAAAATCGAAGGAGATTGCAGAGATGAAGAAGGAGATGGAGAGCATTATTACGAATCTGCGAACAGATGTGGAGATTCTGAGACGGAGAGAGAAAGAGTATGAGAGAGAAGCCAGCAAGAAGGAGGAAGACACGAAGCTCGCCTTCACTTTCCAATCCCTCGATTTTGACTCTGATTCTTTTCAATCCGTTCCGACCTCTCCAGATCTTCGAGGACCAAGGTGAACCATTCTACTTTCTCTGCCCCTTCCCCCCGCGCTCTCAACCTTCTTTGGTTGACAATCGCTATTCTTCCATTATGCTGATTGTGCTCAAGAATGCAAGGTTTCCTCCAACCCAGTCTTTCCTATGGGATCCACAATTTTCGATTTAATATCGGCAAGGTAAGGATCCTTCATGGCGTTGCGTTTCATGTGTTCCCATCTCAAATGCTCGATTGCTTCTCAGCTCGACAGCGTTATCGATGGCTACGTCGGCCTGACTTCATCCGATGGGAACTCCGTAAAGCCCCACATCCCTTCTGCTACCTTTGCTCTCTTCACTGACAATCGACCTGCTCAACGCCCCCAACTCTATCCTTTCTCCGTGACCGATAATATAATGCTGACAATCTTTCAGGCGGCTTTTGCATTGCGATCTGATGATTTGCATTTGGGCAAGGTCATGCTTCTGTTTTCCTTTATTTGTTCTCTTCTTTCTGTGCCCTCGTCCTGCCTTCTGCTGGATATCTCAACTGCTATCAGGGGACGTTTTCTTCCACAGAAGCAGACGAGGATACGCAAAGACTGTCTGACGGCCAAGATATCATTCTCCATGTGAGCTTCTTCTCCCCCTCCTCCCGCTGTGGCTACTCTGAACCTCCGGATTCATGTTTCTTGGTTGTAGGTGAACGCTGATGAAAGTCTGATCGCTTTGTTTGCCTTCGGCTCTCCTGCGCTTGAACTCTCTCGCCTACCAGTTGGTCATCTTCGCAAGGTAACTTGAGCTGCAATCGAATTCTGCTGATGCTTTTTAGCCATGGTCCATCAGTGCCGTCTGCATTGGCAAGGAGTCGAGGATCAGCATAGTAGAGAAACTGGTAAGAAGCGAGGGGAAGCGCAGAGAGAAGTAGAAGGAATGGCATGGAATGGCCCAACCCTAAACGACAGATTTCGCAGGAGGGGATCGTACTGGCTACCCGATGGGGAGTTGAGAGGGTAAGCACAGGAACCTTCATCAGCTCACGTCCAGCACGATCAAGCAAGATACGAGGCATGGGCACAGAAGCGCAACACTCAACTCTGCAGGTCTTGTCTTCGCTCACAGGCTTGAACAGGCCTCACAGGTCTTCTCCTCAGGTACTGCAGAGACTGAATATGGTTCAGCTCGACGTTGCAGGTGAGAACCGCTGATGTTTACACGCTCCTTTGACACAAGCAGACCTCGAAGAGCTGGAAGAATTGGCAACAGCCTACAAAACTGGCTTGAGCAGGCAAGCTCCTTCTCCCCACCATCTGCGCATTACTTTTCCTGATCCCTTCTTGTCACATTCAGGACTCGAGCAGCTATCATATCGCGGCTGAATGACACTCAAGTCCAATTGGCGGCTAGTTGAGTCGACGTTAGGGCCTCAGTCATCAGACTCTGTGGGAGGCTCCAGCTCAAGTCCTGATGGAGCAGTCACAAAGAGATATGGACGAGGCCGAAAGAGAGGTGAGAGGGGACACGGCAATGACAGAAGGCAAGACCGGACGAGAGGGGAGAGGAGGTATAGCAATGAAAGCAGGACGAGGTACAGCAATGACACATGACAAACCTCTTTGTGGGTAATGGTGAACAGAGACAGAGCCCTGAACAAGGTCAGATGTGGACAAGTAGCAAGCTCAGCGACTCACGTGGCTTTCCTCCTCCCTTGGCTGATTGGAGCTCTTTGCAGCCCACGTACCATACCTGTTCCTGCTGAACGTCAGTCGTGAACAGAAATCGAATGGAAATGAGGAGGGTTGTGGATTAAGTCAACGCAAGCTTACTTCTTGGACATGGGCTGGGTTCGAAATACCCCTGCAGAGAATCCAGCATTGACTTTGAAGACAGGACGAACAGGTTGATGGACCAGTCCTGGTATGGATGCAAGCAATCAGATCCACCCACCAGTGTCGCTTGCGTTACTGCACCTTGTCGCGATGCTCCCGCCATGGCAGTGGGGTGGGTGTGATATCTTGATTGCAAGTGGACGAGGTCATGCATGCCTATTCCTTGGAAGGACTTAGAGCCTGAGTCATTCAGTGCCCTGAAGGTTCAATGTCAGAGCGGCTTGCGATCGTTGCTTTTCTTCAATTACCTGTCTCCGTCTTTCTCCTCGCCAACCGACTGTTGCTCTACAGGCTCCAAGGTCGATTCGTTTGTTGCAGACCTCTCCTCTCCATCCTCCTTTCTCATCTTCTCGAGACCCTCCTGCACAAGAGCTTTGCTTCCATCCGCAGTCTTGAGGGCGGAGTCAGAGAGGGCGGCACAAGTGTACTTGAGGATGCGGAGATCATCCTTGAGCGACTGCACGCGGTCAAGGACCTCACTCTGTGTGATTGTCCCCATCCTCGACCGGTACCTCTCGATGATCTCGTTTCTAGCTGTCCTCCACGAGCTGACTTGTGAAGTGAGCACAAAGTCGACATGGTTGGCCACGAGGAGCTCAAGGTCGTCAAGGTAAAGCTTGCAGATCTCCAGGGGTTCAAGCGCTGTGATGCTGTGGAGGCGGATCGAGCAGGATAGGTTGGGGTCGATGCAACAATTCTCTCCAAAGATGTCTCCAGGCCCGAGATGTCTTAGTGCCTTTCCATCCGCGGGTCTTATCACCAGAACCTGGGCCCAGGTCACTCAACATGCGACAGCAGGACAAGAACTTCGATTCGGAAGCGAAGAGGCAGCTGCGAGTATCAAGGTCAAGAAAAGGGAGAAGGACTTATCACCTGTCCACTGCGGATGAAGTAGACGCCATCAGGCTCGGATCCCGCGCTGACGATGAGATCCCCGCGTGCCGCGTACATCTCATGCAGTCGCAAACAGACGTCGCTTAGCGTGCTGGGAGAGCATCGAGATAGCACCGCACACATGCGCGTGAGGTCTCGATGTACGTGGACAGCAAGTGCCTCCTGAATGCTCCTCGGGAGCTCTGCAAGCTTCTTTTCCAAATCAAAGTGCCTCCTCTCGGGGAACCGGTATTCATAATACTGCAAAATGCGCCCGCGAAGCTCCGAAGGAACCTAGCAAAGCTCTTCAGCTGCTTTGCGGACAGTGATCTGCTTACCTCATGCTCGTGCAAATACTCTTTCACATTCCTCTCGAGCGCCGTGTACCGGGAGCAAGCTTCAGTCTGCCTGTTCATAATCTTGGGGACGCTGCCGATGAGAACTCCGAAGAGAAATGAGCCAAGGACGGTCGCCCACACGCAGAAAATTCTCTCTGCTGTTGTGTTTGCCACGACATCTCCAAAGCCGACAGTAGTAATGGTTGTGTAAACAAAATAGAGTGATGTGATATACTTGTCGAACCATTGGTCGTCCCCCTTCGACTTCTTGTATATTCTTCTCACCCAACCCTCGTTCGATTGTGTTCCGATCCAATACCACGAGCACGATAGGAGATGAGATGTAAAGAGCAACAGAGAAAGAATCTTTGCAAGGTGCACCCACCTTGACTTTCGTGGGAATTGATGATATATGTACCTCCACATTTGCCTGAAGTGATGTAGGCGAAACAATTTGGCAAGTCGCATCAGTTTCAACAAGCCAATCACAGATCCCGACATAAGTTTCTCTGTCGATCGAGGGAAGATGATCGAGCAAAGCCTGAGGAACCAGCAAGAAATCTCCTTGAAGGGCAGGACGCCCATGACATCGAGGAGGAAGCTGACGCTTGTCAGGTAATTCTGCTGCACAAGCTCCAGGTCGTCGACAAGGATGAAGCGACCATGCCCTTTTCGCTTATAGTAAGCTGTGTGCATAGTGAATACCATGTCAGCCAGGAAGATTACATCGACAACAACATCGATTGCAGTTCTCGTTATACTGTTGTCACTGCAGGTCGCATAAGCAGCTGGAACGCGAGAGAGGCCAGCGGCACGGAATGGAACAACCACAGCGACGTAGATCATTGCAAACCACATGAAGAAATGCCATCTCTTGAGGAAGTTTGATTCTCTCCGGTATACATCCTTCCTGCCCCACGGGGGCTCGGGGTAGAACCAGGCTTTGTTGTCCCAGAGAAAGCTCAGGTCGAGTCTCTCGTTTCTCTCTTGCGTCCCTCCCTGCTTCCATTCCTTCAGCTCTCTCGGCATGAATGCTCTCACTTGCGTCATCTCCGGGTTCGCCAATGTGCTCTCCACATCGCCGCCCTCCACATCAAGTAGCCCGTCGTCTCTGCCACCTCGAAGCGCCGACTTGGATTGGGGTGTGGGAGATGGATATACCATTCGCCTCGTCTTTAGCAGACTTTCTGCTCCACCCGATGGATTGTTCCGGCTGAAAATGCCTCGTTCGACATGCAGGCAGCTGCAAGGATCGAGAAAACTTGTAACCAGAAACAAAAACACAAGGTTCAACTTCTTCCCGTCAAGATGTGAGAAGGAGCACGAAATTCGAGTATTGTGAATTCTTCCTGAAGAGGCATGTCGTTCAAAGTTGACCACATCTCTAACGATCCAGCCGCCATGCCCAGCAGGAGCAGAACACCCAGCCATCTTCGCTTCCTGATCCGACTCATTCAAGGAAACTGGATACAGAAGATACGTAAAGGTACGTGTTGCTTGTTAGCAGAGTGTCCATAGGGCACATTTGACAGGCTACCACCTTTATAGCAACTTCCTCCTCCTCCTCCTCCTCTCTCCCTCCCCCGCCTGCTGCCCTGCCCCTGCTCGGGCGTCGCAATGCATGAATGAAACCTGCAGGATTTGTGAAGAGTTCTGACCTGCGATTCTTAGAGAAAAATATTTGTCGCAGTCCAGGCCCGCATCAGGATTTTACTGGTCAGAGGGGGGACGTGGTTACTCGCTTTCAAAGTCGGTTGAAAGGGGTAGGGGGGTACTTGTGCTACCGTCACAAACCCTTACTTGTCATATCAGAGTACCTGGTCGTGAAAACAAAGGGGTGGTAGGGGTTATGATCCGTTGGGAATCGGGCATGGAAGGCGGTGGGAGGAGGAGGAGGTTCGAGGGCCTGGAGGCGCAGGCAAAAGAGTTAGAGCAGCAGATGAGGGGCAGACATGGTGTAGGACAAGATATGCGACCCCACAAGCCTCTCGATGCTGGCGGCAGGGTCGCCGACCAAGTCCAGATCTACCTGAGAGGAGACGGAAGCACCAGTGTAGGGGCAGGGTCAGGGTTGCAGGGTGCAGGGCAGGCTGTCGTCATGGCGGAACTGCACACCCTGCGACACATGCTGTCAGAAGCCTCTGCTGTCATGAACGAGAGTGCTCAGAGATCAGACCGACTGGAAGATGAGCTTGGAAAGTGTTATGAAGACCTCCGGGTCAGCCGTCAATCGGAGGAGGCGTCGGAGATTGCGTTGAAAGTTCAGACAGAGCTGGTGGAGAAGAGCAACGCGCAGATCAAGCAGCTGACCGAAGAGCTTCGACAAGTGAGAGAATCTCAAAACGAATGGCGAAGTAAGTGTGAGGAATATCGACTCAAGCTAGAACAGCTAAGCGGGTCGGGGGACATCGAATCGATGCGCGAACAACTGATGCAGCTTAAGGCACAGAACAACGAGTACAACAGATTGAGACTGCTGGACGCAGAGAAAATTGCTACTCAACAAGCAGCGATTGAGCGGCTGGACGAGCTAGAGGATAAACTGAACGGAAAGGAGCGAAGTCTGAGAGAGTCTAAGCAGGAGGCGGACAATTGGAGAGCTAAGGCAGAAGCTTTCTCGGCAGGTATGTAGTATCCTGACAAATTGAGAGCAAGGCGAAGCGATTGGAGAGGAGGAGGCAGAGTGGGAGATGGATGGTAGTGAGACTTCGTGTTTTTCAGAGCTGTTGGCATGGAGATCGAAAAGCGAATCGTGGGAATCGACGAAGGCCTCGAGCGTCAAGTCTCTGCAAGCAGAACGAGACAGGCTGCAAGTTGAGTGGCAGCTGATGCGCGAGTCTCTTCAGAGTGCTGAGGCAACTCTGGCCGTGCAGACAGCCGCTGTGCAGGTAAAACCTTCGCTGGTCCCAACTTCTTTCTGGCTCCTTTGCCTCTTTGTCCACTGCGTCCTGCTCCTCTTCTACACATGCTCGCAGATTTTCGATTGCTTGAGCTCACTTGCTGCGTCAGAGACTCGAGGCAGAGCTTACGGAGGAGAAGCAGAGGAATAGAGACGGCTACAGGGCGCTCGAGAGCTGGGAAGAGAAAGAGAACTCGTGGAAGAGAGAAATACTTGCCATTAGAACTAGGATGGAGGACGAGATTAGCTCACGTAAAGAGAAAATCGACCAGCTTCACAAGACTGTTGAGCGGCTGGAGGAGGAGAGAGATGAGCTGGGAAAGACTCTGAGCAGCGCGGAGGCTTCTCTTGCTGTACAAACAGCAGCGGTACAGAGACTCGAGAAACAGTCCTCCACGTTGTTAGTCGAAGTTCGCCAATGCCGACGATCAGAGGAGGAGTGGAAGATGCGAGGAGAGGAGGCACGTATGTTCAGAAGAGCTTTCTCTCCACTGACATGGGGCTGGCAGGCGCTGGCGGAAGTGAAGTCACTTCAGATTCAACTCGATGACGCGAGAAAGAAGAAGGACGAGACGCTACGAAGCCTGCACGAGAGCACCGACACCTTTGAAACAACCATCAACGACTTGCGAAAGGCTTACGGGGAGGTGAGGGATAGAAGAGAGATAGGAAGGAGGGAGGAGGGGAGCAGAGGCAGGGGAGGGAGGAAGTGGGCAACATGGGGAAGACCGATTGAAGGGGGGCAATCGGGCAATTCGAGTGCACGAGCTGAAATTTTAAACAGTCAGAGTCACGTGGAAAGATGTACATGAACGAGAACGAGAAACTACAGAAGGAGCTGGAGGTGCTGCGAGACTCGATGAAGGACCTAGAAGCGATGAAGAAGGACTACGAGAGGATGCGATACGAGCTTGTTGCCTTAAAAAGCGCCGGGATGAATGGAAACAATTCAGCCAATGGCTTCAAGCAGATCCAAGATGAAAGAGACCGCATTCTTCGGTTCGCTTCTCTATTGTGCTCCTCCTCGCCTCTTCCTCTTACCTGGGTCCTCCAAATTTTCGCTCGTCTCGCTCTTCCCTTCAAATTTTGCCTCTTCTCTTTCATCCATCTCGATTCTACTTCCCACCCTCCTGTTTCTCTATCCTTCTTTTTTTCTTTCATTGACCCCCTCCCCATCTCCTTCCAGTTTTAGTACTCACTGATCTTTCATTGACGCATCACTAATTCATTAGGGAGCTTGAGATTTTGCGACCCAAGTATGAAGAGATGAAGGCGGAGACGGAGGCATGCAAGGCAATCAACAAGCGGCTCGAGGCAGATGTGCAGCAGCTGAACATCAAGTTGGGAGAGTCGGAGGGAAGAGCAGAGAAGTAAGTGGAGGTGAAGGACGAGGAGGACCGGAAGGAGAAAAGTGTTTCAGTATGACTGAGGATTATACAGGTTCCATGGGGAGGCGCAAGGTTATAAATCTGAGGTGGCAAGTTTAAGGATGCAGCTGGAAGATGCGGTAGCTCGGAGTGAGCATGCAATAGCAACGCTGAGAGAAGAAAGAGACATCCTGCACTCTGAGCTTGAAAGACTGCGAAATTCATTGCAGGTAACAAGATTCCTCCTGAGCACCGACTCTCGCGATCCCTCATCTCAAATCGTCTGTTCTGCGTGTCTCACTCCACTGCTTCTCACTCTGATCTCTCCATCTATCTGCGCCTCTTTTCTTGCTCGAATCCACTGTTGCCTGCCCCTGTCTCGCTTCAGAAAGTAACTCAAGGTAAAGGCAGCCAGTGCGGAGGTGACAGCAGGGATGCAATCAGTGGCGAAGCTCTCCAACGTGGACGCTAGGACTGTCTCTTCTCAGGTCCGGGTATACGGCGATGCCCATACCTTGCAGGGGCAGCTCCATCAGCAAATGGATGTCTTCCGCCAGCAGACAGCCCAGCTGCGTGGCAGCTCGGCCCGCCCCCGGATGGTGTATGATGAATTCCGTCCTGCAGCTGGGAAGCCAAGGAGACGAGCGGGGGGGCGACCGGACGGAGGATCCTTGGCCTTGGGAGGGCAGGCAGTTGCGGGAAACCTTGCAGGGGCGCTGGTGAGGAGCAGAAATTCCAACCTTCAGTCGTCGCATGCTGACGGCGGGGGAAAACCTTTCTGGGATGAGGAGAGGAGGACTCGAACGCAAAGCACTCATCGTCCCAGCAGCGCCAACTATCATCCTCCTCCTCCTCGTCTCACAGGCAAAGACTTCAGGAAGTATGAGGACATCAGTCTCGTCGAAGAAGCAGCCGAGTGGCTTGCGGCACAGGTGCAGTCTCTTCCTTCACTCTCCCTTTGTCATATCTCCTCATCCTGTCACCTTTTGCCTGGTCAGAGTGTGAGGGTTGTTTCTTCAGCGGGGGAGACATGGTTGCATGCCATCAGAAGCGGATCTGAGGGCGGCAGGGATGAGCGGAGTGAGTTGGGCTCGCGCGTCCTGGTTGCCCTGATCTGCAGTAGGTTGCTGACGCCGTCATGCACTATCACGGGGGGATCGAGGCGGTGGCAACGAGGCTGTCGATGCAGGTGATGCTTCTGCAAGCATCTCAAGGAGCTGACAGAAGAACTCGTAGATCCATCATTCCACTCGGAGCGCTGCCATAGGTCATGGCGTTGTCAACGATCCGTCGCACTGGAACAAGTTCAGTCACGTTCGCCAAGCGGTACCTCATTCTTCTCCTCTTCTTCTTTCTTCTTGTCTCTTTAGGCAATTTTCTCTTGTTTTCTGGATCCTCACGCACTGTCTCTCCACGCATAACAATTATCAGCATCTCACGCACTCTTTCTCCATGCATGGCAAGCATCTCACGCGCTGGATACAGGTGCTCGAGCTGGCAGAGGCTCTCTGCTCACCAGACACGATGCCATCCTATGCTGCCATGCGAGCGTCTGGCTTCCGGGGTCTGGCCGATGCAGTGCGATCCAAGTACGGGGTGAGCCGATGTCAGCAGAGAGGGAGGGAACTGAATGACTATCACAGGGACTTAAGGGCGTGGCAGAGACTCTTGGACTTCAGCTGTCGTCCGCTTTTGCTGAATTGTAATGAAGGAAACGAAGCTAATGTTGTAACTTACGGTACTCAGCGTGTCTTTCTGCTTGGCAACTGAGAGTGGCCCCATGAAACATATTTCTTTGTATCTGAGCAGGGTGCAAATCCTTGCCTTAGACGTCATTCTCGCAAGAGTTGTACCTGCCTTAGCTTGAGGGGTTGGGATTCTGTCAATAAGCTGGGTCTGATCAGGAACCAAGAAAGACGACACGAGATTCACCACATTTGAGGCGTTCCCGAAATCTTTCCGATAGTTTGATTCATCAATGGCATTTCACCATTCCCTCTGCTGAATTGAGCATCGCTCAGATGTCTCCTCTACTCTGTTGTCTCCTCTGAATCAAATATCTGCAAGAACTCTCAATTCAGCATTGCCTCATGAAACGTTGCCCATAAGAAGTTATGAACAAGGAAAGGCAGCTGATTTCTTGAACAGCAGGGAAACCATAGCCCGAAGAGGTATGTTGCTGTCACAGTGTTGGAGCCAACACAGGAGTCCTGCACGTCAGTGCCCGGCATCCACCAGTTGCCCGAGCAGACCTTGGTCTCGGCGTTCACTGAGACGCCGCGGCTTCTCGAGGCACTGCAGCCTCGGAAGGCCCGAGATGTACGGTACGGTGACTCAGTGATTGTCCTCGTACTGATTTTAAATGATTGTCCTCGTACTGATTTTAAATGATTGTCCTCGTACTGATTTTAAATGATTGTCCTCGTACTGATTTTACAAGATCCTGAGTCAATGATCGGATTGTCCTCGTGCTGATTTTAAATGATTGTCCTCGTACTGATTTTACAAGATCCCAGTGCCACGGTGATTGTCCTCGTACTGATTTTACAAGATCCCGACTCAATGATTGTCCTCGTACTGATTTTAAATGATTGTCCTCGTACTGATTTTACAAGATCCCAGTGATTGTCCTCGTACTGATTTTACAAGATCCTGACTCAATGATTGTCCTAGTACTGATTTTACAAGATCCCAGTGATTGTCCTCGTACTGATTTTAAAAGATCCCGACTCAATGATTGTCCTCGTACTGATTTTAAAAGATCCCGACTCAATGATTGTCCTCGTACTGATTTTAAATGATTGTCCTCGTACTAAAAGATCCCGACTCAATGATTGTCCTCGTACTGATTTTAAAAGATCCCGACTCAATGATTGTCCCCTACTGATTTTAACTTAAGTTAACTTTGAGTAAACTCGGTTCCCGGTCCGAGTCTCAGCGACTCGGTTGACTCAGCATAACCTCTAGCTAGTGCCGTCACGTGCGCGCTCGGCCTAATCCCGTACAGTTTACTCAAAATTAAGTTAAAAATCAGTACTAGTACCGTACAAAGTTTTAGTTATTGTTGTTCATTCACTGTTGAAAAGCGTCACAACAGTGCAGGTGGTGGTCGGGAGCAGGGGGGGCAAACCAATGTGTACGGGTAATATACAAGGGAATTTGAAGGGTAGTAGATATTGGTGGGGTAATGAAATCCATTGCTGGGTAGGTAGGGGTATACCCCTACCCACAAGAAATGCAATTTCTCTTCAGCAAGACCCCTTGTATTGACTATTCCATCTGTAAATGGCGTGTTATTATGAAACTCCGGCTGCTCAGCACGAGGATTTCAAGGAGCCAACAGACTGATTAGTGTGGCATTTAAAGCTTTTCAAAGAAGGGTGGACTCTGGCGAATAAGCTACCAGGTGACTAGCAATTCAGCCAACATTATTGAATTAGAATTTCACATCATACGCCGCGTTGTTGACATGGCAAGACGCGAGCACAGGAGGGCGATGGGAAGCATAGTCTTCGTCCTCCTGCTGCAGGCCTGTTCTGCTGAAATGTCCCTACCCCCTTCCAGAAACGCAACCATCATGTCCACCTCAAACACATCCATCTTGTCAACATCAAATACTTCCATCCTGTCAACAATAATCTCTTTAAAACAAACCACACTCATGAGAAAAAAACTCCCCAACGAAAAGGATTTCCGATCCAGCCGCTTCCAATTGAGATCATATACTTTATCATGCAATACCGACCAAGACTGTAATGAAACAGTAGGACAGTTATGCCTCAACAACCAATGCCAGTGCTATGGAGGACTCGCGGGGACGAGGTGCGAGGCGTGCAGGAGAAACCGATACGGAGGCGAGTGCGAGGGAGGGTGCATAGCCAAGGTCAACTGCAGCGGACACGGGCGGTGTCGGGGATGGGACGGCTCGTGCAGGTAGGGCGGGGTAGAGGAGAGAGCCGGGAGGAGGGATGTAGACAGGAGGGAGGAGAGGAGGGGCTGACGGGAAGGGCGTGGGCAGGTGCTTCGGGGGCTACACGGGACAGAACTGCTCCGAGCCGGCGAACGCGACGGCAGGACGCGAGGGAACATGCCAGACGGACGCCGACTGCGGGGGAGAGGATAGCGGGCGATGCTTGCAAGGGCGGTGCGAGTGCTACGGAGGACTCGCGGGGACGAGGTGCGAGGCGTGCAGGAGAAACCGATACGGAGGCGAGTGCGAGGGAGGGTGCATAGCCAAGGTCAACTGCAGCGGACACGGGCGGTGTCGGGGATGGGACGGCTCGTGCAGGTAGGGCGGGGGAGAGGAGAGAGCCGGGAGGGAGGACGGGGGAGCAAGGGAGAGCACGAGAGGAAAGAGCCAGGGGGAGAAGAGGGGCGAGCGGGCGCCGGGAGACAGGAGGGGCAGGGCGGCAAGGGGGAGGGCGGCAGAGACGGGGATGGTAGTAGGAGAGGGGAGATAGACAGGAGGGAGGAGAGGAGGGGCTGACGGGAAGGGCGTGGGCAGGTGCTTCGGGGGCTACACGGGACAGAACTGCTCCGAGCCGGCGAACGCGACGGCAGGACGCGAGGGAACATGCCAGACGGACGCCGACTGCGGGGGAGAGGATAGCGGGCGATGCTTGCAAGGGCGGTGCGAGTGCTACGGAGGACTCGCGGGGACGAGGTGCGAGGCGTGCAGGAGAAACCGATACGGAGGCGAGTGCGAGGGAGGGTGCATAGCCAAGGTCAACTGCAGCGGACACGGGCGGTGTCGGGGATGGGACGGCTCGTGCAGGTAGGGCGGGGGAGAGGAGAGAGCCGGGAGGGAGGACGGGGAGGGAAGGGAGAGCACGAGAGGAAAGAGCCAGGGGGAGAAGAGGGGCGAGCGGGCGCCGGGAGACAGGAGGGGCAGGGCGGCAGAGGGGCAGGGCGGCAGAGACGGGGATGGTAGTAGGAGAGGGGAGATAGACAGGAGGGAGGAGAGGAGGGGCTGACGGGAAGGGCGTGGGCAGGTGCTTCGGGGGCTACACGGGACAGAACTGCTCCGAGCCGGCGAACGCGACGGCAGGACGCGAGGGAACATGCCAGACGGACGCCGACTGCGGGGGAGAGGATAGCGGGC